TCAACCTACACTGTGTACAGCAACTAACCAACCTTGTACTGGTGCATGCTGCCTTCTGGATGGTGCACTCCTCTTGAACTCCAGGGCTGAGGGTTGATCCCCTGCAGAGCATAAACAAGGGCAGGAAAAGACAAAGCATTTCACACAGGAGTCATATTAAACTACCTCACCACCTGAGGACCACATGCTTTAGATTAGTTAACTGCACGTGTGCATGAAAAATACATTACCCGGCGCTTTGTAATCAGGAATTGTTTTGGTAGTACAGGTGAAAGGGTTAAAAAGAGAATTGACGTGCACAAATACGCACACACACACGGGACAGTCTTCCCCTCAGGTGTCTGCTGAGTAACAGGTATCTTAAGCGCGCGTGGGGTTAATCAACAACCACGTCAGCAAAGGTGCGTCACCTGCGCATCCTCCTGAAGTAGTGTGAATGAGGTCAAGTACTGAAACCAAAACAGCTACTGTGTGGAATTCATAAGAAATTAAAATATGTATATATGTATCATAAGCGTTATTTGAACGACAAAAATGTATCAGGCTACTTACAGTTTGTTACGGTAGAACAGCCTAATTCAAATTATAAGCTAGGAAACCGTTACAGACCAAAAACCGCACAGCTAACATTCACAAATAAACATCTTCTTGGCAGTAATGTTACGCTGCAATATCCACTGCATGTTAGGCAACTTGCACTCAGGCGCCTGTCTTACCTACCTGTGCATAAAGAAATGTCTCCTGATAGACTGCAGAAGAAAAAACTTTCACACCATTTATCTGAAAAAATATTTTTGGCTGAGCGTGGCGGCTCATAGGCGAAGGCGTTAGAAGAGCAGAGCAAAAATTCCCATTTCCAACGGGCAGCTTTCTTGCAAATGAGCAAAAGAGGTGTAAAACTCCATCTCCAATTTTATCAATTTCAGACAGACTCCAGACAGTCTCCAAGCGGTTACGTGCCTGCTTGCCTTGCGCGTGCACGCTGAATGGCGCGGGAAGCTGCGATAACAGATCCAGAGTGACACCGCGAGGACCCAATGGTAAAGAGGAGCCGAGTCTGGCATCCAATCACAATGGCCGATAAGTACAAACCCCCGCCCCTCCTCCTCCTCACCCGTCTGTTGACAGTGCACTGAATAAAACAACAGTCTGAGTTAAGCAGTTCATTGCACTGAGATGTGGGTCACTGACTGCAGCCTATTCAGTCTGGTAAAATGGCAGAGATGTTTGGTCTTATGCATTACAGAGAAATCATATCATATATAATTACATCAGACATGTACATAAATTATAAAATTAATTGTGCATTACATGGCCTGGATGCAATTAACTGCTGTAATCACAATCTACCTTTCTGATATGTTTTGCATTATATACACCATATAAAAGTCAATAAAGATGACAGGTTATAAAAAGGTGATAAAGTAATCAAGCGTATTTTCCTGTGACTGCTGGTGTTTTTTTTTTTGTTTTTTTTTTTTAAAATGGGAAAGCACCACAAACAATTTCTAGTGATACTGCATATGCTTCAGCCATTGTCAGTACATGCAATACTTTGTTTCACATTACCACTTACAGTTGACTAATTCCTGAAACAGTCCTATGAATATCAGCAATGTCTGCTGCCCAGGTCTTTGTCTATTTATGTTTGTGAGTAGTAAGAATTCATACAGATAAATATAAAAAAATATTTATTTAAAATGTATATCCTAGTTTATCAGATCCACCAATTTACCACAGTCCACAGAAAGATAATATTACATTCAAACCCCAGTCGCCCTTGTGGGATTGAACCAGACACTTGCACATCTGCCAAAAACAAATCTTCCTGTTGGAGTATATTAAGCTAATAGGTCTAATAAGTTATGGCCACATGGCAATACATTCCTTTGACTTACCCTCATTGAGAAAAAAACTTGGACATGAAATCGGTCTCAGAGTTAGTCTGCAGCTAAACACAGCACATAATGCTTTTAAAAAGATTTGATTTTTTTTTTTATTTATTTACAAAATAATCTATTGCAGGCCTATATATTCCTACTCCACAGCACCAGTATCCCTTTCTCAAGACAGTTGCTGAGCCTTATGAATTGACAGCAAAAATGTATTGTCTCACACAAAACAACTTCCAAGTTGGCATTTAGATTCTGTCAAAGTCTACACAAGGCGTACAGACAAGTTTGTTGTAAAGAACCTCTGTCCTTTGGATGGAAAATAACAAGTCTTGTCTCCTTCGGCTTTGCACCCTTTAATTTGCATTGTTATGGAAAACCGCTGGATTTGGGTAGGGCACAGAATCATTGAGGTCACCATAATAGAGTGTGACAGCTCCCCTTTTCACATCTATTTGGAAGTAAAATCAAAATTCCTGGGAAAGTGAATCCAGGGAGCACAGAAATATTTCATACAGCTTTGGAAACAGCTGTTTAGAGTGGATATTTAGTAAGGTATGGAATACATATTGAGATGAACTGCACCTGCATTCATTTAAAAAGGAGAAAAACTGGATTTATGAGCTTGTGCATGTACAAACATCAAAAATGTGAATTTGGGAGACTGAAACATCAGGATTTTAGAAAGTTTAGAAAACATGTTCTAAAAAAGCAGCAGCACCAGGCCCCTGACATTTTTAATTTTAGTTTTAACTTGTATACTATTGTAAACCAGCAGTAACGAGGAAATGTCTGGGAGCTTGCAATACTGTGGGGAATCTGCATTTAATATAATCTTATAAGGAGGAAGGAAAAATATTTGCCAACTCGACATCTTGTCTGTACAATCCACACAATCCATTATAATTCACAGACTGTCTTTCACTGGAAAGTCCCTTTACGCTTTCTCAAATTAAAAATCTCACGGCTGATCCCCTCCATCGCCCTGGCTTTCAGATATTGACCTTGTGGTGCTACAAAATAGCTTCTTCCTCACTGCGGGACACCATAATGAGCCAATACAATGAGGCTTCAGTTCACTGCTCACCTCTCTTTGGTGTCTCTCGGGGTCTTTGTTGACGTTTGTCAGCCCAGGAGGAATTTGGGGGGTTAGAATTCTGCTGTAGTCAAGCTATAGAGTCAGACAACAACTTTGACTCCCAGACCCAAGCAAGAAAGAGGAAAAAATTTGGTCAGAGATAAAAAGGCTTTGACCTTACAGGCAAGAAAAATCAAAAGGAGTGACTTGAATAAAGATTAAGCAGCATTTTGAGTTTCAGCCAAAGTGACCAAGATCTGAAAAGGGCAAGCATTTGTAAATGTGGCATCTTTGCCGTAGCACTAAAAATAGAAACCAAGAATTGTCACATTTTTCAGGGTTTCATTAATGCAGTGATCGGCTGTGCTAGCCAACCTGCTTCAGTGGTAAAGACAGGTGGGACTGGTTGAGTGAGTTCAGTACTGTCCATACAGATGTCTGAAGGACTCATGTTAGCTTCAGACAACAACACAAAATCTCACTGCTAAGCAGATCAGAAACCCCATTCTTAGAACAATCTATATATGTTTCATCTATGAATCCTAACCACATGATAATAAATCACAAGCTACTATAGAGTTGAATAAAGCAGAACCAGCTATGTGTCCATGTAAAATGAAAACGTAATTGCTAACATGTGTGAAGTATGTACCTCTAAATCAGGTTATAATATTCATTTAGTTTTCTTTTTTATCCTTTTGTCTTTTATGACCAACTGCATCAAAATCTCAGTGAAAATAATGATAATGAAGGTGGTGGTGCTGGCTCACTAAACATCTGTGGTGTGCACATTTAAACACAGGATCCAGAAAGCCATTGAGATGATTAGGCAAATGGTTAAATGGATGAATGGATGATTTTTCTGTACATGAAACAAGATATAAAATACATAAAGACAAAGTAAGTACAATTACATTCAATTTTTTTTTTAAATAACATAAGGTTTGAAAGTCCATTCTTCAACTTACAGTGGTTCTCTTTGTTCTCACAATGGTTTTGGAGGGAAAAGGCTTTGCAGTCCAGAAGGGTGGGGTTATATAACTTCCTGGGTGTGGTTAACAGGATGACAGGTGATTTCAGATGAGGCGGGGTTTTCCTTGTGATTATTTCCTATATTTACTAAAGAAGAAGAAGTAAACTTGTGATTAAACACCCAGTTTGAATCTCCCACAATTATGTGACACATATCTGTTATGATATACTTGTACCCTTGTGTTTATGTAGCTTATGCACTTTTATTCTCATTTTATACCTCCTTAAAATAAACAGGAAAACAATGTGTGAAAATGCAATTTCTGTTTTGTTCAACAGAACATCCTTCTTAATATATCAAGAAGAAAATATAAATACATTTTCTTAGCTACACAGTTCTCACCAGAATGCCAGGATAACATGTGGTAATCATGTAGAATAATTACATGTGAATCATTAGCATGGAGAACAAAGAGAAATTTAATATACAGATGGCTGCTATACTAATGGTGGCAACCATTAGGTTTTTTATGATCTATGTTTTTACTATATTGTACCACTAACTATACCCACTATTACAACAAAGGCCATACCAACCTTGAGTGCAAGGCATATGTTTAGAAAAATATTGGGTTCCAGTTCATAATGCTCATAATATATATGATAAATATTGATAATAATCATATATATTCACATATATCCATAGCCTACATGTAGGTCTACTAGAATTTCTAAACGTATAAAGGAAATGCCCTCTGTGGATGTACGTTTCTTGATAATGAGGCCCTTTTATGGAAGCAATATTGAACTGAACTGCATAATCTATCCAACTGTACAGCAAACGTATTTCCCACAACTAACACTTGGTATGAACTACGCGCAATCGTGGAGGGCAGATACTTGCCAGATTCATAATGATCTGCCTTCATATCGGACCTGACAGGCAGCTCGCGTTTGTGCAGCAAAAACCTATCGGCGGAGCTGGTGTTTCCCACCCACAATGCATCATCGCAGCAGCCACAGCTCTGCCATGTTTGTACTACGGTCGTGGATGGAAATCAATGCTGCATAGACGCTGTTTGGTTGCTAGTTTCACGCTTTTTTTACTGTCCTACGAGTGAAATACGAAAGATTAAATGCAACCCCCATTTTTGTAGTCAGACTTTGAGGGGGACACGCAGTGCACCATGTCAGCCAACGGCCAGGGTGAGTAATGTCAGCGGCTTTTGTCGATAATGCTAAGTTAGCTTTGTAGCAAGCTAAGTTAGCTAACATAGCTAGCTACTGTTAACAGTAGATTGAAACACGGTTGCAGTGACTGTAGGCCATAAACTGGACCTTAGCTATGGCTAGCTAATAAGCTTTACCCTGAACAAACATCCGTAACCATCGGTGGTTGACATTCTTGGTTGTATACAGATATAAGTTTCAGCGTACGGCAGTGTTAACTTGGCAGCTAAGTAATTAACATCTAAACGTAATTAGCGACATTTTATCGTTGTTTAAATTATCTAATGCTCGTATTATCCACTGTTTTAGTGAATGAATTCAGGGCCAATTCGCGGGCTAACGTTAACATTAGCTTTTAATGTTTCAGCCCTAATTTCCAGCGTGTGGTTGTTAACAGCTGCGTTTGCAAATATCATTAGCAAGTGAGCTAGCTAGTCAGCAAACTGGTGAAAATACGCCTCATGTGAGTGATGTAGAGTATTTGTTGCGTCGTGTTTGTTACGTTGCTCTTGAAAAATGTTGAAACTGCTATAATGGCATTTTAAAATGAATAATGGCTCAATAACACCATGTGTTTGTACACTAATATAATAAATCGTTAGTTCCAACATTGCTGATAAAAGCTAGCTAGCTAACCATGATCCGCTGAAGGCAGTTGTTCACAAAACACTTAGTTCTTTGGCTAATGGTGGTGTTCAGATATCCGCTTTAAATTATGTACTATGCGTTGGTTTTTATCTTCTGGCCTTGTTGCCAGGGTTGGGACTGAACTAACGACGGCATGTGCACACAGGGGTGCTACTATATGACGCACTTTACGTGCTGTTTTTATTCTACATATTCGTTGATTTTTATTAGCTAGTTGCCGTGGCCACCAGAAGATCCTTAGGTGTCAGTTATATTCAGTCATACGTGCAGTTAAATGTCATTGTTTACCAGAAAGTTGCCTGAAAATGTATTTTAGTATAACTACGAATGAGAACACTTGAACTACATCTCAGTGTACAGTATGAACGTGGGCATTTCACTTCCAACTTGACAAATTGCTAACAATAAGGTTTTGGTAATGTGTCCATATGACTAATATTTTTTCTGTCTGACCTTGTGGTTAACAACATATTCAGACAGGAATTTACCTTGCTTCCAATATTTATTTCCAAAATTTGCCTCATGTAGGTTTTTCTCTTGGTCAAGTTGAGTAAAAAAAAAAAGAAAAGGTAATGTACGTTTTAGTTTGTTTGAAGTCTCTGTCTGCCCCATTAAACAACTGACTGGTGCAAAATGAATTGTGGGGCTGCTTATTAGCCTGTCATGTCCAAGTGGGTCTTGAGTTAAGAGACTGAAATATTAGACCAAAAGTTTTAGACTAACTCTTGGCCAGATACTTGACCTCAACTTAAAGCCAGTAATATGTTTTTGTCACATGAGACATTTTCGCATGTGGTAGGAGGAAAAACAGGTGCAAAAACTAAAAAAAAGTTGTCTGAATTCCATTTAGCTGCTTGGGTTTCAGCATCCTGGTATTGTGCATGCAGGCTCAGAACTCTGTTAGGAAAATTATGATTGTGGTGTGTTTTCATCATGTACCGATTTCAAAATCAAGCCTATTAGTAGACTTTGAAAGGAAAACATTTGGTAGGGGATATGTACTGATATGTTAGAGCCAGCAAGGTTGTGGCAGGGACATTTGTCTGGCTGGGTCATGTCGAGTTGGACAGATCAAATATGGGGATGTTAATGTGGCATGACCATCAGTTCTTGGGTAACAACTGGGACGAGAGTTTTCCATATCTTTGTTAAAGGCTGGTGTTCAGTGATGAATTCTGTGTTAGAATAGGGTGTCACTTGCACATGTACTAAGTCTCATGTGTAACTATCTTCCATCCATGTGAGGAAAAAAGAATAGTAAAGAACCACTTTATCAATCTCACTCTGCTTAAGTTATTCTGTTTTCATGAGAAACCTGTGTGTCATCGCATTTGTGGGTGTGCAATATCCGCAATAATCATTCTATTTATACTCAAACAAGCCACTTTCTCATCTGTGCAGGAGCTGCCATTGCTCTCTGACACTGTAGAAGGCACTGTGGACAGGACAAGAGCATGCATACAGGAGAAGAAGACAGTATGAAAAGCTGCTTGTGATTGTTCTTTGTTAAAACTTTTACAGTGGTTTTGTTTCACCATTGTACAGCATATCTGTTACTTTCTTTTTATTTCCTTGTTCTTCTCGTCTTCATAGATACCTTGTTTACCTGACTATCAGTGTATTTTGGGAGGAGATGAGTGATAAGGCATATTCTAGGTCTGCATGCTGACTGTAATTATGTAATTGTGGAGGTTTGTGGATACGTTTGCACATTTGCAGATGTTGGCATGAGATGTATATAGCGGGTGTTATTGAATAGAATGAAGCCATTCTTAATGATATTGATAACACCTGTGTTTTTCCTACTATGGCAAGTCAACATGTCTGCTGTGTCTATGTCTGTGCCCATTTTCAATGGTTCAAACTGTGCCAAGAACCAAGTGGCCCCAGGAAATAATCAGTGCCTCTGTCATCAGTTTGATGGAGGGAAAGGAATGGATCCAGCCTGGATTTAATCTTTTCAGTTCTTCAGTGTTTCCAACTTATTATATATAGAATAATTATTATATATAGAATAATATTCTGTGTTAAATAAGATACGTTTGGTTGGTTACGCTTCCCATTTTTTCCTAGAAGATGTGCGACTTTGAGGGATCAAGGGTTTCCCTTTCTCCCTGGAGCTCTGCTCTCTTTCGTAGAGCCAGTGTGCCAAATGTTATGTAATTGCAAGGTTGGGAAAACCTGTTAAAACTGAGAGCATGCATCACATGAGGCAGGGGGTTTGTTGTTGATCTGTATCAGTTGAGGATTAAACAACAGCAGCATCTAGTATGGCAGATACTGTGATAACAGATTCTTGTTGAGGATTAGGACAACATTATAAACACTTCAGCTTATACAACTATAACTCAGGCCAATCTTAATGTTCATTTTTGGAGGGCTTTTAAATGTTGGGTAAATATCTTTTCTATTTGGATTCAGGCATGAGAGAGTGTACTGGTCTCAGCTCTCTACTATGCTGTTTGTGTACTTTCAGTAGTTGACTCCGGTTGGCGTACGGGGAATATGCTTTTCAAATTCTGCTTGTAGAATAAGTATGTCAGCCTATGATAATGTTGAATATATTGGCATATTGCATTGCTCTAGTGCGAAATCTATCAGCAAAATTTCCTTTTTGTTGCAGATTATGACTTTGATGAATATGACAAACCTGGTGCTGAGCGGTCACGCAGGAGGAGAGGTGAAGATGATGATCTAGAGAGGTAAATCATCTTCTCATGTTCTCATGAGAACTAAGAAGAGTGCTGTATGTAACTCACAACCTGCTAATGTTATCAAAATGAAGATGTGTCCAGTGTAGCATAAAACTCATATCTTCCCATAAACAAAATGTGACTGTCCTTTTAAAATCATATCTACAAAACACTAATTTGTCATACGCTAAGTTTCTGATTTTCAGATAAGTCAATGGCTTGAACAGTGTACTTATTTTAAATAAATGTTATCATCCATTAAAGGAGCAGTTAATCCTTCACTTTGTCTGGAAAAAAAAGTAAAAGCAGAGGTATCAGAAGACATGATCTAAGTGTAAAAATTAATAGATAAATAAAATAATATAAAAATAAACATCCAGTCAGTACTGAAAACTGAAATGTTTTGTCTGATTCTGCTAACCTGTTACTGTCTTTTCTCTTTAAAAGTGATTTGGAAGAGGATTTGTTGGAGGAGGTAAGATTAAACAAAATCTCTTTGAATCTCACTTTTTCGTTTACTTTGATATTAAGCTAGGCACCAAATAGCACTTTGCTTGTCAGTGTGGTTTCTTTGCTCACAAGCAGGACATGAAAAATAATATCCAAAAAACTGGAACGTTAGTGTTGATAGAACATTTAGAAAATAGAAGTGAGCAGTGGACTTGTAGCAGGTGGCTCCTCCACAGGGGGAATTGTTGATGTGAACCAGGAGGAAGTACAGTGGACAAAAAAGAACTGTGTTGACCTGCCCAGATTGTCTTCACCACATGGGAATAGAGCATCCTTTGGGGTTGGAGGTGGTCCCCTGCCCGCACGTTTTATACACACACACACACACACACACACACACACACACACACACACACACACACACACACACACACACACACACACACACTGAGGAAGGGTAGAATACAATTGTCAAAGAGCCAAAGAAAATGTTGCTATATTCTTGTTTCAGAATCCCTCAGAAGTGTCTGATGAAGAGCTGAATGACGACCTTCTACAAAGTGATGATGAAGATGTGAACATGAGGTAAGATAATTACATCAGTGCTATGTGTTCAGTTTCATAATGTTTTCTATGTTTTACGGAAAGTGAAATGTTTTGTTTGTTTTCAGTGGTCAGGATATGAGCCTCAATGCCACATACAACTTAGGCACATCCTATGACCAGCAGGACAACTCGCAGGAAGCAGACTACACAGATGACGTTGTGAACCTGGGTGCAGAGGGCTGTGAAGGAGGGGATGTACAGGAGGAGGGGTACCAGCAAGAAGAGGAGTACACAGAGGAATACAGCCAGGACGACAACACAGAGATGCCTGAAGACCAGATGGATTACACTGTTGAGCTAGCTGACGGTGAAGATGGCTACCAGGATGAAGTGTTAGACATCCAAATCAATGAGCCCTTAGATGGTGAATTTCAAGTGAGTTCTCACATTTGCCTACTCTCATGTAAACGCCTGCGGATGCACACACAAGCACACACACATACGTCCTCCACCTCCTTTTTCTGTCCAACGCTATTGTATCCAAGAGATAATGTCAGTTTTCTTGTCTAGGTGAGGGGACAGTCAGGACTGAAAATCTATTCAGGAGAAGGAGATGTAGGTTGGCGTTTCTGGGCAGGGGAGGATTAGATTCATTATCACTTCCTGCCAGTTAATTTCTCCATCTTGCTGACAAAGTTTGTGTTGACAGCTTGTTTGGTGTGAAGTAATGCTCTGCTGTCGCCTCCAAATCCCTGTGCCATTGTGACCTTGGGCCCTGTATCTTTGGGGGAGTAAGAAGCTGCTTTGTGTTGAGGAGATGTGCTGCCAATCGACGGAGGTTAATGTGGGGGGCTTTTATCTCGGGCTTTAGACTGGATCTGATAAAGTCTCATGCAGGTGAAAAGATTATTGACCTTCCTGAGGACACCCCATACAGTTTTCTAATGATTGATGCGAGTTTCCCTTTTATTCGTTTCCCTTCCCTCTTAGCCCAGACTAAGAGGATCAAAGATAAGACCAGATCCATGTGCAAATGTCCGTTATGGTCCATTTACCAAGGTGTGATGGTGTTTGGCACCTGACAGAGATATATTAACCTACCTCCTTTCTCCAAACAAAGATAAGATGTTGACCTTCTTACTGAGGGTACACAGCTCAAGTGGATGCCTACTTTGGATTTTGGGAAATGTCTGTAGGTGTGGATGTGTATTTGTATTATGTGTAATAACTGTTTACAAGGTCACTAAACTGTCCGGCCTTGACATTTTGCACACTATGGTATTCAGTGGGTACTATGTGGAACAGTTTAAAGGATTAAGCTGTTTAGTTCCCTTGGGGCAGCCTGTCCATCCATCAGGTTTACAGAGTGTGTTTTTTTCTTTTCTGCATTAATATGTGCTGCTGTTTCGCAGGTTAATGGAGCGCAACACCAAACAGCATTGTGTGACCTACACTCTGACCTTATTTAGCAATGAATTTTTGTCAGAGGTTGTTAATGCAGATAGGATGTTTGAATAACCAGCAACCCCTATACCAGTTATGGGGTCTCTTTGCTTGTTGATTTTCTGGAATGACTGAGATGTGTATTTGGGATTGTATGAAGTGATTGTATCACGAGTTGAACTGAAATCTTATTATGGAGGAGAAAAAAATGATTTGTCATCTCCCAGAATGTTTGCATCTGTGCCATGTTTTTGGCATGGAGTCATGAACTTACAGTGCGGCCAATAACAGTGTGATTTGCGAGGAGTCAGTCAATGATATTTTCACCATCATTGAAGCGGGGAGGAGTGTTTTTATCTGTGCCTGCATTTCTGTATATCATGTCAAACATTTACATCTCATTGAATTTCAAATGCTGTCAGGAATAGTAATGAAGCCTTGCTCCCACTGTTATGGTAATTTGGGTGGGGGGGGTGTGGGGTGGGGTGGGGGGTACACAGTGCCTCCCCAAAATCCTCTCCATAACATTTTAATGTTTGCCTTTATACTCTGTATAATTTTTGTCTTTGTCTTTAAATTTCTATTTATCGCTTCATAAATATTAAAGTATATCATCATTTAGCCTACTTTTATTTATTTTAGCCATTCAAAAATGGATGCCAGTTGAACTCTGTTCTTTATGCTTGTATATATTTGCCCTACATCGTGACAGCATTGCTTGTTAGGAATTGATGTTTTTAATTTCAACAGAAGCACACTTAGAGATTGTTTTCCAACAACGGCTGAAATGCAGTCAGCCATTGCTGATCCTTATCTGAGCGTTGTTACCACTTAAGCTAATCAATACATGTTACCAATGTGATCTTTAAAGGATGATGAATATCAAACCTCCTATGATGAGCCTCTGGATGAACATGGAGTCCAACAGGAGGAGGCCCCCGAGGAGGAGGAAGAGGTGGGGGAAGAACAGCAGCAGGAAGAAGAGGAGGAAGACACTGCAGAGGACTCTCAGGTCTTTGACACAGAGGAGGTATGTTAAGAGCCTCCACTCAACACCTAGTGTTGTTTCTATAGATTGCATTTTTTTTTTTTTTTTTACCACAAACCCGATTATTGCACACAGTTGTGCTCGTAATAAAAATGGTGAGGGGTATTTGTTAGAATGGTAGACTTTTGTTTCTAACCTCTGAAAATGTCTTCAGGTTGAAAATGAAGCTGTGCCTGAAGAAGAAACCAAGGAAGAATCAGATGAGGAGGATGAGGAAGATGAAGAGTCTGGTCGCATACGGTTCAAGTCTGAGAGAAAAGATGGCGCTGTTGTGCGTTTGGCTGATGCAGGCAGTAAAAGGAGGAACATCCCTGAAACATTAGGTAGAAAGGTTTCCTGCTGGGCATAATTTGTCCTTGATTCATTGACAACAAAAGTAAATCCTCACATATTTTGTGATCTTGTGACCTCTAATCTGTAATAGGTTTACATTAATATGGACTTGAACTTGTACTTTATCCTAAATTAATATTTAGGGTTAATATACAAATGCTGTTTTCCTGTTCCACATATCATCAGAACTGTCAGAGAAGGCCAAGCAGGATCTGAGGGAATTTGAGGAGCAAGAACGGCAGAAAAGACAGAACCGTTACGGAGGCCGAGGGAGAGGAGGAGGAGGAGGCTGTGGGCGAGGAAGCCGAGGAAGAGGAGGTTTCCCAGGCTTTGGAATGGGAGATTTTAGAGGAGGACACAGAGGAAGAATGAATGACCAGAGGCTCCCCTTGATGGGAAACATGGGCATGCAGGTAAACTACTGTACAGTCATCCACCTGAACAGCATAAAAGGGATAATCTATTTAGCTACACAGAGTAACGCATCACTTAGTACTGAATCACTCCTCTTGAAGAGTAGCTAAAGGGAGCATAAGGGTTTCACTGGATAAGATGATTTGAAATGGCTTGACATTTTCTTGTATTTGTCACACTTACAGCAAGGCTGGGTTTCTCTGTATTTGAAATGTGTTGTATTCACTGCTGTTGTCTTTACTGTCTAAGACCTCCAAAGCAGTGCTCGTTTACGCGTGAAAAAGTCAAAACACTCTTTCTCTATATCAATGTTGATATATGGATTATAGCAAATCATTTGGCAGTAGTCCATTTAGACAGTATTATACAAAATTAAATTTGTTCTTTGCACAGGATTTAGTTTCTTGTGGGCTTTTATTGTTTGATATCAATTCATGCATTTAATCCTTTGATTTACATGCCTCAGCAGTTCATACAAGACCCTTAAAAGTCTAAGTCACTTGAAGTCACTTGAACATGTAACTTAAATAAAAAGGGCCAGTGATGATGATCTTCAGTAACACGGTGGAAGGTTATTGGATTTCAGAACTCGACCAGGACTACACAAAAAGTACACAAAATCAAAAGTATTAATAAATAATAAAATACCAATATACCATTGTGTTAAAGTGATTCCTCTCAAGGCAGCATGACATTTCTCTCCAGCTCTTCATTATTTTAGGTAGTATTAATTAATGATAATAGGCTGTAAAATTCAAAACAAAACGGCAGCACTGGAAATGAAAATTTAAAGGCAGATCGACGACATGCCAACACAACAAACAATGTGCTGACTGCTGTTAATGAGCTTGTATTTTTTACAACATACTGTTGTAGCCAAGTTTAACTACTTGACTAAATTGGTCACTGGCATGTTTGTTTATTTGTTTGTTTGATTGTTTGGTAGTTTGAATAGATAGACTGGCCAATTATCAAGGACCCATTTTACACGTCACTTAACTATATAATTATGGGTCCAACATTTATCAGTTGGTGCATCCTTGGTCGATATATTCCAGTGCCAGCAGATAGCTTGACTGTTGGTGTTGGTCTTTGTTTCTTCTTAATGGCTGTAGCTCACTTTTTACATATTGTGATCCCACCAAGGTTGCCTTCAGTTTTATGTCACTTATATAAATTCTCAAAAAACACATGCACTTTTAATCTTCAGGGGAGACTTGCACTAAATTACTTTAGGATATCATCTTCAGTTTTGCTGGTGAATTGACTTGTTGGCGTGTCATCGCATGGCTGCAAGCAATGATATCAGAATCTTCCCAGAAAGAAATGTGTTTTGACAGGTTGTTTTGGTTTTCCCTCCTCTCCGTTTCCCCATCTCTTTCCAATTAGCAGCCACCCTCCAGAATGCCTCCTCCTCATCAGCCTCATCAGCAGCAACTGCAGTCCCAGCAGCACCACCCTTCGCGTCCAAGAGGACCTCCTCCCTTCCAAGAGCATGGGCGCCCACTGGCCCAGCAGCCCCTTCAGCCCCTCATCCCCCCACACATGGCTCACCGCTCTCCGCCGTTGCGGCCCCAGATGGAGCCGCCACCACGAATGATGAGCTCCCCACCACCCCACTTCCCCCAGCATCACCAGCAGCAACCTCCACAGCCCAAAAACATCCACATAAACCCCCATTTCAGAGGGCCCACGTCATCTTCTGTGCAAGGTAAATTAATCCACCATCACTCAAATGCTTTTTTTAATATAACCTCTATGGCTGTTTTTCTGGATTTACCACAGCACTACTTGATCAATAGCATTAAAATGGATTTTTCAGTCTTATTCATAAATGACAATTCTGCTACCTATGTGTTAGCAAGGTGATTTGTTGCATCAAACCAAACTCTCCTAATTATATCCACAAGTTAACAAATGACAAGACTGAGTTTACACCCTGTGATGAACTGTGCAAACAAAATGTGAGAGGGATATAAAATATAAAATTGTGTTTATACAAAGAAAAGGGTCATATCTGTTGTGTGGTTATATGATGTCCATGTATACGTTGAAATAATTGATGATTTAAGAGAAATTTTTATATAGTGTAATTAAAGATCCAGATGTGTATGGTGCTGTGACTCAAGTTATTATTTTAGTTACAGTTGACATTATTTCTATCCCTAACCCCTCAGCATATAAAGTCAAGCAGTTGGCTATAAGCTGTCTGTTTAAAACATGAGTGTGCCTTTTGTCTTGTGCAAAGTTGAAGTGATAGTTCCATAATAGTCTGCATGAAGACAAATAAAAATGCAATTAATATTATTCTTTTATTATTTCTTCTAAGATTCGTAGTCTCAAGTATGAAAATCATAATTGTCATTTTATCCATAATTGTGTAACCCTAGTTTATCAGCAAGATCTTCACTTGAGGTGCATGATGCCATTTTGGCTGGCAGTTATCCTTACACTGTCCTGAAAGGTGTCTGGATTAGAATGTCATTTTGTTGTTTGGTTGAGTGACAAGTGAATAGCTCTCTGAGCCAGTAATGGGTTTATCCTCATTTTTTTTTTTTCTGGCGGCATCACCATTCCGTTCCCTGAGATGGGTTTATCTGGCCTGTCTGTCCAGGCCAAGATTGAAATTTTGTTAGATCTGTGTGTGTGTGTGTGTGTGTGTGTGTGTGTGTGTGTGTGTGTGTGTGTGTGTGTGTGTTTGTATATCTCACTGTGTGTGTGTATATCTCACTGTGTGTGTGTGTGTGTGTGTATCACTGTGTGTGCATGTGGGGGTTTGGGTTTTGCTCCTGAGAGGAAGACGTGTTCTGGAAGATCAGGGATTGCCTCTGGTTATGATTAAGTGTGTGTGTGCATGTGTTTGTATATATGTCTGTGTTTATTTAATTATATATTTTAAGTGATAGATTCCAATTGAATGTTTTCCAGCTCTAGATGTTGACATACAATTACAGTAACCCTTATTTTGAATCAGTATGCCAGCAGTATGCAAAATGAAAATGCTGTTATTGAATTGTATTGTGCCAAATGTTGTCAAACAGCAAATGTCTTATTCATTTGTATTTGTTGAATTTGGTAAATGATTCACATGCATTTCACATTTCCTTGAGCTCCCTGGTCTGTGCCCAGCTGTGTAAAGATGTGAGGAGCAACTCGGAGACAAATTTAAGATGTAGCTCTGTGTAACAGCCTTTAGCATGGAGATGTCTAATGGTCTCCTCCCTTTCTACTATCACCACCCTCTCTCTGCCTACTGCCCCTCATTTTCATTTCTCTCCCCCTCCCCCCTCCACCCCTCTTTCTCTTGCTCTCTCCCTCTCTCTCATTGCAGTGCCCTTGATGCCTCCTGCTCAGAGCCAGCCCAGACCTGCTGTGGGTCCTCAGAGGTTCCCTGTGAGTAGCAGCTGCTCCTCTCTCTCCCTTTTGCCTCACTTTCTCTCCCTCTCCACACGGTTAGCGTCCCTTTTTGTGAGGGTAATATCATTACGGCAATTAGACTTTCCTGCCCTGGCCAAATACTGTTAAAGCAAATCTGTAAACACTGATACGAGTCTGGCTGCACAACTGGAAATGCGTGATAGGGGCTTTAGGCAGTAGACTTTTGGAGGTCGGGGCTGCAGTGGCGGGACTTAGTTAGCAACTCTTCATGGATGGGCTGGGGCTCAGACTAGCCAGCTTGGCACATAATGGAATTGTGAAACCAGGATATATTGCCAGTTAAAATTCACTTTCTACAAGTTTGTGTCCCAAAGGCATGGAGACCTTTTTTGAATGGTATTTGAATTAATGAAACATGGTGGTGGTTTGATGGGGCTGGGCTGTGAGCGTCTTGCCTTTTTGCACTATATATTAAGAAAGCTGAATTTCATGTCAGAGAAAAGGGATCTTAAGTCTGTGATTTCCTGTAAGAAAAGGTCCTTTATTTCACACACAAAGAACCCATCCAAGAGATGACAGAAATGCCTTTAAAGTAATTACTGTATTGCGGGAAATGGCTCACTAGCAAGTCAGCCAAAGTGCCTTAAGTTAGTCCATCCTTCTAGTTAATGATGCCCAGGCATCAGGTGGCGCTGGTCCTGACTGACATCTTCCTGGAAAGTACATTTTATATGGATTTATGCAAATTAGCCATTGGAAAATAGCTGCATCCAATTGCATTCATGTGGATTTACAACCCTGTTGCCAAATGAGCCAGGCTTTCACATTGGAGTCAATCTTTGTCAAAAAAATTGTATTTTATTTACCTCTTTTCCAACCTTCAATGTCAGTATCATGCAATTCCTGCTCCCTGAGGACTGTGATGGCGCTAGATATTGATAGCACCGTAGCAGGGAGCTGTTTTGGCTCTTATCAGACAGTAGAAGGTGGGGTTGGAAGGGTATGGGCTGATGAACAACATAGTGTTGGATTCCCCAGCTGTCAATTGCATTTAGGCTGCTGTTGCCAAGGACACAATTTGAAATGCAGGTGACATACCAGCCGGCAACATTCCATTTAGCAGTGGGCACCTGATTACTCATGATTATCATACATTATCATCCCATCAAATTTAATTGTTAAAAGACCAGGCGAATGGGGGGTCATAGCCTCTAGTATTACTGCATTAAATTTTTGCAGGTGGAGACTGGTATTGAAATATTAATCTCAGTGCCAATTAAAGTTATTTGTATATTTAATCCATTTAGATAATGACACTCAGTTTAACCATGAAACAGAGATGCCACCAACTACACTATTTGAAAACAATGTCAGTATGGGATGTAATTTCTAGTAGTCAATACCTTTTTGAAATTCTTAGCGTCTTGTTGTGCATTTTGATGAATAAATTCTTCCTTGATGGCAGTTGGTAGCAGTCACAGCTCCTTGACTCCTACCTCCTGTGAATATTATATCCTGAACACAAAAATGCTTTAAGCTCAAATTTCCATTCTTTATTAAATATGTGACATTTCACCCCTCTCTATTATATTTGTCATGGTTATCCCCTCATTGCTAAGAGCTATCCGAGCATCAGTTACATATTGAACAGCCTGCAGCCTTTTTTTAATTTTTTTTTTTATCAAGGATTAGAAGTGAGAGGATGAGCCGTGTTATTTTAGAGGTATTATATGGACACCAGAGTCCTCATTGTGCAAACCTGCCTGTCTGACCATTTAGAATAGTGTGATTGTGCCCACATTGTGCTCCCCTGTCTTTGTAAGCCCCTTTGATTAACTTTCTGTTAAGCAAGTTTCTGGGACTCTGGCCTTCCAGCTTTCTAACACCTCTCCTCTCTAAATACCGCCACACAGCAGTGGAATAAAGATGGATTAAGCCTTGATAGCATCTTAAGTAATTTACAATAAGCTTGGAGGAGGCAAGGAGGCCATTTGTGGAAGTGCCACGTGTTGAATAGCAGGTTAATTTTTCAACAGAGATGGATGTTTAAAAGAATAAAGGAGACAGTTATGAGGGGGATTCGAATTCCAAGGAGGGATTAAAAGGTTGTTATCTACTTTTCCTTGGAAGATAGATGGGGAGTAGTGTGCATGCAGTGAAAGCTGTCGAACATGCAAAGAGAAAACGAAGTTGAAACAAAGATGAGGGCATTTATCCCCTCCTAAAATACCCTTTCCTTGTTAAAGACAGACTTCTAGAAGGTTTATCAACAAAGCCTCAAGTAGCATTAATGCAGGTTTGCTCACAAATTCATGCTAAAGGGTTTCTTTAATATTGGCATGCATATTGATGTTTACAACTCATGATTCTGTGTCTTTTTAATGACCCTAGCCCTTCAATTACAAGCACTCCATGCCCGACGAAATACTCCACTGCAAAGTCCCATTTTTCATTAGTTTAATTTGTTTGTGATTATTGAGTTCCCAGTATGGCCTATAATTCATGAGTTTTGTGTTTTCCCAGGGACCGGGAGACTTCCAGCAGCACATGCCTGGTAATTTTGGTCAGCCCCAGCGGCCTCCTCATCACATGGAGCCCTTTAGGAACCAGCCACCTCAAGGCCCCCAGGATAGGGAGCCCCTCTTTATGACAGGTGAGTCTCACACCCAGCCTTGACGAGGGTTACAAAGCGCTCTTAGCATATTTAACCCTATTCGACATCAGCTCTGACAGTATACCTACAGGGTATGCTCCCAGCTTTGTGGTGCTGCTCTATTAGCAGCACTCATGTTAAATGCATGTGTGTATGTATGTGTATATATGTGTATATATATATGTACATCTGAATGAGCCTTGGATACTTAAAACATGCATTAAACATATATTTCAGATTTTTTATTCACAGTGTTAATGTTGAATTAAATACAACCCACTTGGTTGTTTATCATTTCACCTTGATAGAGTTGTCTGTTCTTGTTTCCCTTGCCATAACACTATACATCTGGAGAGGGAGTTACTGATGTATTGAAATTGGCTCACAGTGCAAAAAACTGACATCTCTGTTGTGTTGTTGTTGTTTGGTCTTCTTGCTTGGGCACAGAGCGCACAGAGTCAACAAGGTTTCCAGGGCAGCACATGTTTGATCACCAGGGCCCCAGCCCTCTGATGAACAGCAGCAACAACCTCCACCAGCAGCAGCAGCTGCCCGGACAGGGCCACATGGGCTTCGGCCCACCAGGACCAGCCTTCAACCAGCCGGGTCAGGGCCCGCTAGGACTGTTTCCGAGAGAACCCCCAAGACCCAACCTCCCTCCCCACCAAGGTCACCAAGGAATGGTCGGCTTGAATCAACAAAGTGGCCCCCCTAACCAGCCCAGACCTTTCATGGGCCCTCGTCAGCCGTTTGGCCAGCAGGGGAACCTTTTTCCCCCTCCACAAGTTCAGTTTGGGATGCAGGTACGACTAAGAGTAAGTGAATATTATAACTAAAAGATGTTCTGTGTAATTGTCTGTAAGTTGTGCAACAGCTGGGTAATGTTTCTTTATTTCTTTTCCAATCATGTATTGAATTTGCATACTAAACATGATAATTTGATCTTAGTATCATGAGGTTTTTTTTTAGTATCTTCTCTTGCCTTTGACAAATCTTGTAAAGGAGCCTGGCATACAATTCACATACTTTGTGTGCCATCAATGTATGAATTTTTGTTGGTTTTACTCTAGATTATTAAAATGGTGTTGGCAAGAGCGATGACTAGATGACTAGAGTACTGTACACATGAGTAAACTAGACTAGTTATCATATTCACTGCTACTGAAGCGTTAAAGAAAAAGACCTGTCTGTTTGGCATCTCAGCATTTTGTGGAGACATATACGTGAGCTCCCTCTAGTGACTGAATCGCCATTTTAGTAGAACTATGTGGATACATGAGGACACCAATTGGAGGTTAATTACATGCAGTAATTGTCTGATCCTATGTTGAAAATAGTTTCCATAAGAAATTATACAGTTGCTGTTTAAAATAAATAAATAAACTAAAAAAAAAACAAAAAACAGATTGCATTATATATGTGTATGAACTGTGTATATATGTATACTCACATATAATGCAGTCAGTTTTTATTTCATTCTTATTAAACATATATGTAATATAAAAACTATTGTATGTGATAGCAAGTTCTGATTCTGCCTGTTACTCATGCTCTAGTTGTCTTTTCTTTAATTTCAGGGCTTAATGCATGGTCCTCCTGTCTCCCAGCTTCCACATCACGACCCTATGTCATCCCATCAGCCCATGCACCACCAGCAACAACATCATAGGCAGGAGTTACCCCATCACCAGCAGCAACAGCTAAATCTCAGTGAGCCTCGCCCCATGATGCACCATGGCCAGAATCTCTTCCATCAACAGCAGGCGCACGGTAGCCCCAGGCAGATGACTCCCCGCCCTCAGAACCCCCAGCAGCGCAACATGTCCAACAGGCAGAGGATGGTGAGAGATTAACATATTATCTTATTAGCATATTAGCATATTATCTGTTTTCTGCTCAAACTGATGAAAAGCACTTACATGGGGTCTGTATTTTTATCAGTGTCATTATAATTACTCTGTTATTCTGTCAGCATCTTTCCTCAGTAAACAAAATATTGCAGGGTGAAATTGGATAGATCTAAATGTATATTAAAAGCAGACTAATTGTAAACTCAAAATGAAATGTTTACATTTTGCCCTTTCTTCAGAACACACCTGTTTCCAAGCAAATACAGCAGCGCAACAGCAACCTACGGGAGCTCCCTGTAGCACCTGGCAACACAAACATGAACAGTGCCCGCCCCACCGCCTCCCCCGCTGCCAACGTCAGGCCTGTTGCCAAGGCAACACAGGGGGTGCGTCCTGGGCAGAACATTCAGCCGGTGCCTGACGGTGGCAGAGGAAGAGGCCTATTTGCTGCCAAGACTGAATCGCAGCCTGGGGGAGCAGGCAGGACAGTGGTTCGCAAGGAAATCCCAAGCACACCGTCCAGCACAGCACAGGTCAGCTTTTTTACATTAATGATAAATAAAATATTGAGTTTGTTTGCACAATGCACAAATTATTTCACATAACTGCTTATTTTAATTTCTCAAATATTTCACTGAAATGGTACTGTAAACTGAGTAATTTTCAGTATTTTTCCCTGCAAAATCCAGTTCAAGCGAGCTTATCAGTGTGCTGAAGAGGGCCCCCATTTATTAAAAGCCCAATCATAAGGTTGTTAATGACAGCAGTCTCATTCCATTGGAAAGAACAGATCAATACTATTGCATTTTTCTCTTGGGTTTTGACTTTGATTACATCTGAGTGTCAAGTAATATGGTTCAAATAGGACACCGTGGCTCACAGCTCCCCTTCACGTAAGTGGAGACAGGCAGTCATATTGTCAACTTGTGTTTTGTGCCACAGGACCCTGATGAGGATGAGGAGACACGGCAGTATCGTCTGAAGATTGAGGAGCAGAAGCGTCTGAGAGAGGAGATCCTGAAGAGGAAGGAAATGCGACGGCAGATGCAAGCCGGCGTCAGAAAGAAGGAGCTGCTGGAAAGGCTTAATTCCCAGACAAACACTCCAAGCCAAGGGCCCGCTCCTACACTGATTCAACCTGCACAGCAAAATCAGCAAACACACCCTGTACAAAAACAACCACCACCGCAGCAGCAGCAGCAGCAGCAGCAGCAGCAGCAGCAGCAGCAGCATCCAGAACAAAAACAGCAGCCACAGTTACAAAAACAGCAGCAACAGTTACAGCCACAACAGCAGAGACAGTTTCCTCAGAGAACACAACAACCATTAAATCAGTCATTTAAGAATCCTAATCAAGGCACCCCCATCCCTCCTAATGGCGCCACTCAAACCCTTACACCACGTCCCAATGTGAAGACACGCCTGCAGATGGTAAAAGGTAACCCCCCACAGCAACAGACCCCTGGGCCTATTCCAGACCAGCAATGGAAACAGCCCCAACAAAGTCCACAGCAGCTGCAACAACAACAACAGCAGCAGCAGAAACAACAACAACAACAACAACAACAACAACAAGAACAACAGCAGCAACAGCAACAAAGAAACAGTGCAATGCAGAACGTAAACAGACCTGGCACTCAAAACAACATACCTGTAACTCCCTCATTGGGCCCGGCTCAGGCTCAGACTCAGGCTCAGGCTCAGGCTCAAGGACCTAAACCTGGGGCTAAAAGAACTGTGATGCAGCGAGCCAAGAATTCTGGTGTCGAAGGTCAGCAGGTGCCGCAAAAAGTCAGAGTCGTCAAACTTTCAGGAGCGGTGAGCATATGATTTCATTTTTATCCAACACCTTCTTTTGCGTTTTGGCTCGGCATTTATTTCATCCTCTACAACTGATTTTTATTCACTAGGGAAGTTACATAGTTTTGAAATGAAATAGTTTTAAATGCCACTGAAAACCCTCACGCTGTCTATTTTGTAGTCTAAAAGATATCTAACCTATGGGACTGACAAGATGATGTCTGTGTCATTTTGGCAAAATTGATCTGGTAAGAGTTTCCTCTCTAAAGCTTTGGGAACTGGTATTTAAGCCACAATGCCTTCACGTACATTTTACCTTGAGAACACAGAAAGGCTGTAGGCATTAAAGAGAGCGGTATGACATTTATCTGTAGAGATGGGGACACCTCATCACTGCTCTTAAAGGTTGATATCCTCTTTTAAGGGCACAAGAGTATTCTTTTAAAAAGATAAAGGCCTTGGAGAGGGTAAAACAAGAATGACAGTAACGCCAACAAAGTCCAGAATTACCACTGCCGGCTATTTTATACTCACTTGATAAGTTACTGCTGTGGCCTTAATTACACATTAATCTTTATTGAAAAACCACAAAGGCATGCATGTTAAACATTCATACTTGTCACTGATGAGACATGTTGGTGGGATGTGATAGTATTTGAAATAAGCCGCTTTCCGACTCCATCCCAGAGGATCAAGCCGCAGAGCCAAAATCGCAGGCTGGCTGCAGATGAAGATAACTGGGTGTCAGTGCCTTAATGGAAACCTGCGCAGAGCTATCTGATGTACCGCATCTTGGAGAAAAAAGGGGAGTGGGATGTGAGGTGGTGAAAGAGAGATGGAAACAGAAAGACACAGCTAAGGCCTATAGCTGCGATGAAAAGAAGATTCTCTAGATGCTCCCTCTTCCACATTGTTCTGCTGTCATCAACGGGAGCTTGACAATGTTATCTCCTCTCTTCTCTTTTTTTCTTGCTCTCTCTCTTCCTCTCTGTCATCCCTCAGTTGCTTTTTTCCATCAACCCATCTCTCAGGTGTGAGGCAACAAAAGAATGCCAATCCAAGAGCCTTGTAATTAATCTTTCTTGGTTGAAGGGGGGGCAACATAATACCTGTGTAAGAAAGTTGCCACTTTTGAGGATTTGGATTTGTATGGCTTAGGCACACAGATAAGAGGCAAATTATATTTTCATCAGGGATAATACAAAGCAGCACAAGACACAAAAGCTGGGGAGAAGGGGGGTGTAAGGGGGATGGGGTACACATCGAGCTGCTGTCGTTCCAGTGTAATGCAGCTTAGCATTTGATGGGTGCAATCAGGAGCTGTGATTTCTATAGGAGGGATTAATCCATTTACTCTCAACTGGGGACAGGTCAGAGATATCGCCTCTTTTCTTCCCCTGTATTGATCTGTCACATCTCTCCGCAGAGTCGGGGAAGAGACGACCTTCAATTCTTCCCCGCATGTCAACAGAGTTGAGCTGTGACTTTATTTGATAATGAGACCATCACCTTGTTGGGTTGATCTTTATTCCCCACAGCTTGTGCGATAGGGATCCAGCTCCAATGCTTGCACATTTTCAGTTTGCTTTGTAGAAATGGCCTTCCATTTCTCCCTTTTGTCCATAAACTTGACACTTTCCCTAAATGCTTAATGTAAGAAGGAGTTTGTGAATCCTGCAAACAAAGATAAAGGCAGGAAATCTTTTCAGTAGTTAAATTAGTATTGTCCTCCATCATCATACAGAGTGGAAAGGGGCCTGAGGCCACTGGCAGCCCTATGCAGCAACAAGGCACCTGGCCGGCACCCGCACTCAACCAGGGCGTCCAGAGGAAGGTTACCATGACAGGACAGCAGCAACAGGGACCAAGCGGAACACCGCAGGCTTGCCGAGGGGGCATGGGCAACCCACAGCAAAACAGGGTATGTCATAAATGAGTGCTCACCGCCTTCTGTGTTGTGGGCATCAGCAACCATCTCACCTGAACTATATATATATTAATAGTCCAGACTGTGAAGTAATGGCAGTTCTGATATAGAAGAAGCCAAAATGTCTCCTGTAAAGTTGTCCTGTGCCGCTGGCGCTACCCTGGCATTCAGCAGACATACCAATCGAGCATAGTGGTAATAAGACAGGACAGTATGCCAGGTGCAGGAGTATTGACAAGCTGAAAGCAGTGTAACACAGGGGGCTACACAAGGTCCCCTGGCCTCTCTGCACGCCTGTCACCACCAGGCTGCTGTCACAGTTACCATACTCACTGATGCTGACAGGGTAAGGCAGCCACCATAACGCTTGCATGGCTCCTCTCCCTTAATGCTCCCCCGCCCCCAACACACACACACTCACACACATATTCCCTCTACCTCCTCTCCTTTTCGGGGTCTCTCCCTCCTCCTCTTCTTCCTCTGCAGCTGAAGAAACATACCTCTCACTCAGGAGCTCATATGAAGATATGCCATGCCACATGCATCATGTTCTGATGTTGATGTTCTATGTAGAAATATGATAAGTCAATCACATGAAAGCGTGGCGTGTCTGAGGGGTGCGAAAGGAAAACATAGCGTTTTTAAATTTTCCTTTGTGCTGAGAAACAGTATAGCTCCTCTCCACACGGTTGAATGCAGGATTAAAACATCAACATGCCTGTTAGAGCAGGAAAAGGTTGTCTGTATTTTCGCCGCTTTTCTTCTTCCCCCTTCCCCCGTATTTTTCTGTCATGACGGCAATTTTTCTCACACCTGGCGTTGGTTGGTTGGTAGGTTGTCGTGTCAGGCCGGGGCCGAGGTAGAGGGGGTGGTCAGATGGGTCGAGGTCGTCCGATGTCCACCAGACAAAGCCAAAGAGGTGCAGAGAGCGAACGCTGTACCGTGTCCATAGAGGGCCTCTCCTCATCCACAACTGACGTTCAGCTGAAGAATCTTCTCAGATCCATTGGCCCCATTGAGGTTTGTATCAGATGTTTTACAACTTAATATTTTAGCGTGCAAACGTATTGTATTTCCGTTCCTTTCTTATAACTTAATATGTCCCGTCCTGTATTAAAAGTAACAATATTCAGACAGTTGTGCAGAAGTTAAGCTGTAACTAATGCATACATACGTTATTTTTTTTTTTTTATATTTAAGCTACGTACCTTGTGAGGAAAACTTTAAAAAATAGATATTTATGTGTGTCCACCATAGTGGCAGTAATGAAATTCTCCTAATGTGATCCCATAGCGCCCTCTGTCGTAGTGATTAGGTAGGTAGAGAATGAGCTAATCAATTTTCCTTCACCACCCTCACTCCCCCTTGTGGATAAGAGGAGTATCTAGTTGTATTAAATTTGTTCTTTTCTGTTTCTGTCGCAGATGTTCAAAATGATGCCACAGCAGAGGAAAGCAGTTGCCACATTTTCCAGTCCCCAGCACGCAGCAAGTTTTCAAATGAGCTTCCATAGGTAATCAATACTCCCTCTCCTTTTCATCATCTTTAAACACATGCCAGTCAAATGATTACGTATTGTGGTAGGTCTTTACATTTTGCCGATGTGATGGTCTTGAAATTCAGCTTGTACAGATTTTGCATAAATGTGTATTAGTGTCTCAGCCCCTTTTGACACTGGTTCAAACATTATCACAATTACCACACAGGCACATGATTGATTTGTCCCACATTGATGTGTCGCTGATTGATGGATGAGGAGCACAATAGAGCCAGGGAGTCCCGTTACAAGACGTCACTTTCTCCTGACATGGGAGCTTCTCATGCACAGCTCCATCTTGGCATAGGAATATTTCTTCAGCCTTTTGAGGTCACTCACAGTCAACGTCTGCACAGAAGCATCGTTCGTCATTCATCTCCTCTCAGCTTTGAACAGTGATCACAAAGACATAAGCTGCGAGCACGCCTGTGTTTGACTTTGTCTACCAATTGGCCATTGTTGTAAATTGGCACTGGAGAGACACTGGACAGTTAATCCTACTTCGATGTAGTTTGTGATGAATGTTTTTGTGCATCTTACACGGACCCTAAGTAGAACATATCATGAGATAATGGTTGCTCCCCTCCTCAGTGAGATTCATATTAACAAATGCAAATGACACTTGAACGTTGTAATTCTAATGTGACCACTTCATAGTGTTATTTTTTTTCTTTATTATTATTTGCGGCTCGGTGTTTGGTTTACACGCAGGGAATGGTTGTGGCTGATTGTAGCCAGCCTATTCATGTGGGCTCTACCCTAGCAGTGTTTGTCCCCCTCTGTAGATGGCAGTATTTCATTACTATTGGTGCTTCATTTTTTTTCAACCCAAACCTGCTTTTAGGTAGAGTGATGAATCCCCAAGCAAAGCAGTTTTTGGGTAAATGGCACTACCTAGTGGAGGACTAGCATACAGGCACAGAGGTGGCCTGGGTGGACGATTTAATAGAGTAGACATAGCAGTGACTAAAACCAAGTTAACACAGGATTTAACAGGATTTAACATGAATATGTGTTTTCCAAATTCCCTTTAGTTTCGGGAATTGTGACTGTGTTGTGTAGATTTTGTGGTGCTTTAAGTTTCAGTGCTGCTTCTCAGACATTGTTCAGCTCAAATCGCTCATTAAAGTTAGTTCATTTGGTCATTTGGCAGTGCTCCTTGTTCTAAATGTTAGAACGTCTTTTAACTGTTTAATTTTAACACCTGGAATGCATTTAGGAAAAATACTTCATGCCTTTTGGATGTATATTTTAGTTGTATGTCTGATTATGGAGTTAGATTTAGCTTTCTAATCTGTCCTAAGTGTGCCTTGAAGGAGTGTGTTTTTAGGTTTTTTGAGATTTTTTATGCGTACAACTTAAAAGTATATTGTTGGGAATTTAATATTTGTATTATTTTGTAGCTCTGAGGGAATTACTTACAATTACAATTCGTTTCAGGATATACACATCTATGTAAATTATTTGAGCTAGGATATATGTTTGGCTTTCTCCTTTCAGAAATAACTGATCTGAATCTGTGTGACTATCACTTGATAATTTGATGCCTTATCAATGAGCTGTATAATGTACCTGGAATAGCACTTTGAGCAAAAGGCCTTCACACTGAGCTAGTAATGTGGATATTTGGCAGAAGAGCAGAAACAAACAAATTACCTTAAATGTTGAGTTCCCCTTATTATGATATAGATGTTCTCTGTAACTTCTGGGCTCTAAATCATAATGATATCTTACTCTTACAAAGGGTCAAATTTCTTCACACGTGTGAGAAATTCACTTGTACAATCACTAATGCAACATATTTTTCTGAGCATGTGCCCTTGTTTGGGAAGTGCTACCACATCACTGAAACCTTTTAATTCTCTTAATACTTAACTTCCGTGTCATCATTTAACTAAATATAGCAAGTTAGTCTCACTTACTTTTTCAGTTATTCCATGATTTTTTTTCTACATACAACATTTTTGTCTGTTCCGTGTTTAGGATTTGTCAAACAGAAAGTTCTTCTAAATATTCAAACATTGTTTTGCGTACTTTATTGATAGGGATGTGATGCGAGGAAGGTGAGGGGGCAACCATTATCTATGTAGTGATCATGTACATAAGTAGATCAGAACTTTGACTCAATATTTATCCTGTTAACATTTTTTGAGTTATTCTTTACTCATGTTGTATCAAGTTAAACAGTTTTATATGTAAAGATATGCTGATGTGTCCAGGCATAAATCATTTTACAATTGTTTTTGTTTTGAATTTAGAGCCAACATGAAAAAATGACTGGACCACGTTTCTGTTTATAAGACATTTGACAAAAAGTTTAAGGGAAAACAAGAAAATAAAACATGGCCAATATACCGTGAACATGCAGGTATGTAAAGCCGGTTCAACTTTAGCCCAAAGATGTGTGGTTTTGTGTGATGTCCATGTGTCTAGTGCAATGAAGTATCTTTCTTATTTGTGCCACATTTCAATCATTCAATCAAGTTCCTGGGTATTCACTTTGCAACATATCATATTTTTCTTTAAAAACTATCTATTACCTTGGGATTAATGCAAAACTCTTTTGAGGATTTTTATTATTATTTTTGTAAGTTTGTAGACTTAAGCAATTATACAGCAAGAAATTCTAGCTCAAAGATTAAGGGGAATGCCACTGAATTTTGGCATTGAAATGACTTGCTTCATATTCTTAAACAAGAGAAATGTTTTCCTGCAAATTTAACCTTGATGTCATACTAATGTGGAGCTCCATGAAATGTGTAAGATATAGGATTAGGTCTAGTAATTGTTACATCCTACATAACTTCACTGGGCTATATTTTTCAGTTAGAGCAAACAATATCACATTAGAGGGTTAACATGTTGAAAACCACAAAGTCCTTATTTACTGTCAGAAAGTCAACTCCTGGCTGAGCATCTGGATGACATCACAGATTAAGTTCTCTGGTTTTGAGATTTACGAAGTAGTGGTTCACAAGTAGTTACATTTGTGCTTTCTGCATGTGTGAATCAAATTCATAAATTTAGTGGTATTTCCCTTAAATTAGATATTATTTGAAATAATTCAAAATCTATTAGGTTTTGAAATAAACTGCACTTAAGTGATTCTCGCCAGTAAAGATCACTAGATCCTCAAAACACTTTTAATACCAAAGGTATTTGGATGAATGGGGTGCCTGAAAATGTCTAAACCCCTAAATTCCTTTTAGGTCTTGTAAAACTTGAGGTTGGGTGGTTTACAGTTTTTTGTATGTTTTACAGTTGTTCTAAACTGGCTTCTTTATGTTTTAATCCTTTTGTTTTGAGTTGAACTGATGTAGAGGTTTTTGTTCTCTTACAATGTGTATTTACTGTCTTTCATGTTGTGGGTTATGCATGATTTTAGTCCTGTGGTAAATCCTGTGGATTTGAAAAAGTATCGGCAATGCCAGTCAGAGAGATATTGTTATAAGACATCTGGTCTTGTAATTCCAGAACAGATTCATATTGAATCTATTTGTACCTTAATTTTAAGAATTTCGCACATATATGTACCTTGAGTTTATAGAAATGATGTTCTATATTTCTCAGAGGAAAATGGTGCTCACTTAATGCCTGATTTACAGTAAGCTATTTAATTAGCAGGGTGATTTTCCAATCACATCACCTCAACCCTATGGTTGAGGTAGGGTATTTAGATATTTGATTCAGAAAGGTTTATCTGTCAGATGTGTATGGGGCTTTCTTGTGCTTGCATAAGAGAACTTCATTTTTGCTGCTGCTGACAAGTATCAGAATGTTTCTACCAGCTTCGGGTCAAATATGCAACGCTAGCTGGGTTGAGTTCTATACAACACTAACTTGCAACTTTTTTTCAACAGGTCCATTTGGTGAATAAGGGTGCTGAGACTTTGCAGACTGTGGCTGAAATAATCATTTCATTCTTTCTTTTTCTTCAGGTCACATCCACGTCACCAGAGTGGTGTCACAACCAGTCATCAGTGTGTTGCTCACCCAAAATGCAAAGTTAAGGGACCATACCAAGGGCTTAGCATGTTTTAGCAAATTAACAAAGTAGGTATACATGCAGAGACTTGAAACCTGCTAAAGCTGGGCTTATGTTTCATGTTAATACTGTTCACTGTAATTTGTTCCTGTTTGATTCTTATGCGTAGCTTCAACACATGAAATTTTAGTTGGGCAGTTAATTGTTGATGTGCTAAAACTAGCCCCAGTTTATATCTCTAATGTAATCATCAATTGCGTAATTCTGAAAAACCCCAGCAGGTCATTTAATATCACTTACTGCTATTTTGAAGACATGTCCAGATTACTTAAAAGACCTTTTTATCTTGCTGGTATAAAAAAATCATTTCTCTGCTGCATGTTTTATACAACACATTTCTAAAACTTAGGTTTATTTAATCCAATTTTTTGTTAAGTTGTGCTAGGCAACCGAGGAGATACAGTATGCCATCTCCAGTTTTGTTTGGTCAGTTGCATCTTGTTCTAGTTTACTTTTACTATAAACCAGATGGAATATTTTTGTACCAGCAAAATGCGGCGTTAAGTGTTTTCAAATGACCAAGAGTTTTTTTTCTAATTTACAATGTATTTATATTTTAGGAAATCAATGGCTTAAATCTGTTACTCTTAATGTGACCATTAACGAAAAAGTCTAAAAAGTAGAAGTACGGATTACATGAGAAGTATAAATGGGTTGAGCAGAAGCATGCAAAACCACTGGTATGGTCTGACACTTGTGGTGCTGGTTTAATCACGTTGGGCTGTTTGCACAGATGTTTGGTTTGGGATGGAACTAATGAGATTTGTCTTATGAAAACACACCTTTATGTGACCACAGTTATCATCACATCATACAAACGATGGCCTCACGGATTAACATATTAATTTTTCCACAGCATTCTGGTACGAAGAGCCGTTTACCAGCTTTATCCATGAAACTGCTTTGTCACTTTTCCTGCCTTAACTCACTCACTTCACGCTTCAGGTTTTTTTTCTTTTCTTTTTTACACCAATGCAGCCTGCGACCATAGGATGAAGACTTTACTTGAACTTACTTCCCTCATTAAATAGATGTTGCTGCATTCAGAGTATTGGGCCCGCCACATTTCCTCCCATTACTGCTTTTTCTGCCATCGCTGTTCTTCCAGCTTGCATATATTTTTACAGTTACTCATCTTTTCCTTGATGCTGCTGTTGTTGAATGAACTTGAGACTTCTGTATCAAGCAGGGTGGCCTACCAGGATTACCATTGTTTGTTAGCCCAGTGGCTGGAGGTTTCCATCTCTGTGACGACAGCCGGGTTCACAGAGCAGACACGTAACTCTAAAGCCGCTTTATGGCTTTCACTGCACCAAAGGTCATCCCAGCTTCTTGACATTCATTGTTTGGTTGGATTTTGAAAAAGACACTACAGTGGTTTCCTCATCTCAAACAGTATGGTGCACCAAATAATGACTGAAAATCCAACCTATTGAGCTTTGACTGAAACTGTTGACAAAGCATCTTGTCTTATGTTTTCACACTGATCTATCATATGAAGTGATCATGTTTTATGTTGGAATATTCTGAAATCACTGCGAAAATAGCTTTGATGCTGTAAACTGGTGTTTGTAAAGAGGCAAAATGCTTTTTATAAGAAATTGAGTATGTTTTTAAAGAGATGAAATATGTTAAATTTGGTACCAGTAACTGAAGGAAAATAAACTTTTTGACTTACACTGCAAAACGGATTTTGTTTTCATTGAGAAATTGGGAGTGGCTGGTAATTTTTGGAGTTCAAATCTACTTCATTTCAGACCTAAACAACCAAGGTGCTTTGGTCAGAAGTAAATAGCTAGACTGGAATGGTTGTCAGCTGAAGCAGTGGTTCCCAACCTTTTTTGGCTGGTCAACCCTTAAAATGAAGGACTGGCTACCTGTGACCTCTTGTCACATGTTGAATGTTATTTTTCAGCTGTGAGCAGTTAAATGACACTTCAAAAAGTGAAGAAGCAAAACTGCCCTGTATTTTATAAGAAAAAAAATCGAGAAAAATGGGGGGATGGGGGGGGGGGGATCTGCACTTGCGTAGCAGAACAATGCATGGCTAGCATAGCATACATGGCTGGAGACCTACAATGTTCTCCTCATAATACTGAATTAGAGGCTAATGTCTGAGACATGATAAGAAGAGAAGAGAAGAAATAGAGTAAGAAATAAAAGGGGCCAATCAGGCCAATGTTGAGCGTGTGGTTGTGATGCAGCGGTAGAGATTTGCATCCAAGTTCACTTGAGCACCCACCAAAGTGTTCTTCAGATCCAGGACCAACAGAGAGGTTCTTGAGAACTCTGTAAAAATGCTAATTGATTAAAAGTGAAGGGTTTCAGTTGTCATACATCTTGACTTAATCTGGTGACCCTGATATCTTTTCTCTTTATATTGGTGAAAAATGTATAATAATGTACACAGTATGTCTCTTTTGTCCACCTGCTGTATCATCAATCTAGCCATTTTTCATCCATCTGTCATGAGTTTATCTGCAATATCAACATGTATGAAATTAGTGTGTTTTAAAAAGTTCAGTCCTCTGTTTCAGTTTATTGACAGTAAGGGAGGAGGCAGTAGTTAAGGTGTGATAGCTTGTCAAAAAGCAGATCCTTGTCGGTTTTCATTTCCCTCCAACCTACCACTTACGTCTTGAACACTCTGCTGATTGCTGCCACAGAGCAGTAAATGTTGCCTTGAAAAAGTGGAGTGCTGCCTTTTGCAAAACTCTCATAGAAATGGGTAGTTTTGTTTTCCAGAATGCCAGACTGTTCATGTTTGCAAATGTCAACATTTGTAAAAGCTGTTGTTGAGCTCCAGCAGACTGAGGGACCCTGAGGGATTAGAGGAGGCTCTGTTTACCTGCTCTGAGGAATGCTGCCCTGCACGGACGCTTTTGTATCTGTCAGGGACCCAAGGTCACAGTGCCGGGAGAGATGGGCGGCTTTGTCCCTCCCCAAAGTTTCCACCTCACAATATCAACAACAAAACACAATGTGGGAGAAGGAAATGGAATTCCTGCTCATGTTGCAACAGTATTCAGACACTTGGCTTCAATGGCCCCTTTTACCTTTGATAAATCTGGGTGAAAGATGGCTTTTATCATTTTTTGTGATTTTAGAACTGAGAAAACTATAAAAGATTCACTTTATTTGTATATTCATATATTTCATACTCCATTTGAACCTCTGCTTCTCTATAGACCTGTACAGTTATTTTGTTTGAAGCATCAAACTTAAATCCTTAAAAACAACCAAAGTGAGAGCCACTGCAGTTTGTTCTATAACCCCTTCAATCTCCCAATACATTCATTTATTTAGTAGTGAACTTAAATAGCAGATTAAGCTCATTTCTTGCTATAAGTATAGGCAGTTCTCTTATAAAAAAAACTATTTACAACTCCCAGCTGTAGAATGATTTTTTTAAAACATTTCTCGGCAGCACTATCGGCGATTCACCACATGGTGTCGCACTTGCACAACTTAACAACAAGGCAGCTGTGGGGGAGACTGATGCTGTAATCAATTTCAGAGAGATATGTAGCCTTACAACACCAAAGCACATCTCAAGAGGACACACATACATCACTAAAACCTCACTATTAAGTGCTACATGCACACTCTAAGTCCCTATGAAAATATTGGAGGATTATAGCGATTTGTTAAGACTAACAAATGTTTTACTAAGCTGTGATTTAGACTACAATGACTGTATTTCTTCTGATGGAGCAATCTGACCTCAACCAGCAGACACCAAGAAGCAGATTTAGGGCCAACAAACACACTTCTGTTTAATTTGTCTGCAAGTTAGAAGTTATTTGCGGAGGGCAAACCTCGTTAAATTTAACATGGACTCTCAACATTTCGCAAGCATGCAAAAGGTAGTTCAAAGCGCAATATTTTCGCCATTTTGTAAAAGCTAGCAAAGAGGGCGAAATTGTTTGCTAGCTTTCCCAGTGGGCTAAACTCCCTCAGTTACCATGTAAAACTTGCCACATATTAACTATAACCGTCTAGAATGAATGCTTTGTTCATTATAAAAGATAATTGGACCAAGAAGGAAATATTAACACAACCCTATAACTGATTTGTTTATCAATTAGCTGTCTTAACAACTAATTTAAGACCTTAATATGGCCATAAAATATCTCATAATATTGTTCAAATGTTCCTCTTTGTGTTTCCTGTGAAGCTCATTCAGACAAAGACATGTAACAACTGCAAGTTTGAAGATTTTCTTTATCTCATTTTGTAATAAACATATAAATAATAAACTCTAGACATTTTTGACACATCGCCCTGTTATGAAAGTTAACTGGTATGGTCTGGCTATATAGACTATCCAAACTGTGCATCTGCCGCAGGTCATTTCTATAAAACTATTTCCCTATTACAAAATATGAAAAGAAAAATACATTTTAGTACATTTACAGGAGTTACTTATTAATTTATTTAACGAAACCGTTTCAGTACTACTTTAACTGTTACTGAATTGTCAGAATCTGCATTTAATATTTTTCTCAGAAGAAAACAGAAAAATAGAAACACACAAAAGAAAAAATGCAAGAGAATGCAGACATGAGGCAGAATATCTGTCCCTCTCCGACAACTTAAACGAACAGTTTCCAAAATAATAAAATTCTTAATAAACCAAGCAGTACAAGATTTTTCCAATACTTTCCCAACTACTGTATTTAAATTAAAATATATTCTCATATCTTACACTATTTCAAATAACGAAATGTGATTCGGTAGCGATCTGTCAAAATCTAATTTACAATTCTGTGTATAAAAATATAATTTATGGAACCCCGCGAAGTTTGTTCTCCCCAAAATATAACAGTCAGTTGCACATATATGCACATATGAACATTACAACCTGTCAAAGTTAGCTCCTTTCTACATGGTCTTCTTTCTCTTTGCGCAGTTTTTTTTTTCTTTTTCAGTTTTTTCATTTTTTTTCTTCATTTTTTCTTTCTTTTTTGCATTTGAGATATACAAAAATAGATTATGCACAATTTGCTGCTCACACCGTTTCAGAATCCATTTGTGTGACAGCAGCGAGTTCACATGAGAATAAATTATTCAAAGAGAAACTTTTTAAGGCTCCATTCATTCTTTGAAAGGGGACACATCTTGGAAAAGTCACTGAAATAAATATCCCAACTCCGCTGGGGCCTTTTGTCTTGTTTGTCTGTTTGTTCGTTTTTTAATTATTATTATTATTTTATTTTTTTAATCTACTGAATAGTTCGTGTGTCCTACATTTAAGTCCCATTCTGCTCCTGTAGTAGAGGTTTCAACTCGGGTATACTGACATCCCAAGTGGATGAATCGAGTGGCTGTCCAAGAGCCATGTTCCTAATTGATAAAGGATCTTGGAATACCAGTGCACTCCGTCGTTCTGTGCACTGGCTTGAGGCTGGGAACTGAAAAGCAATGAGGACACCCAGTGGGCGAGCCTGACAGGTGCCAGGGCCCAGTGCGCCAGGTCATGGTCTTCAATCGCTGCGTAACAAGACGCAAGGACCTGGTCCACGACAACGGTCCCCTGCACGGTCACCGGCGCAAAGGAGCCGTCGTGCTCTTGTGTGTAAATCCGTTTTACGGTCACAGGCTGGAGTCGACTCCGCTCGGGGTCGAAGACGAACACCTTTTGTCCAGGTTGGACTTGGCTGGCGAAGATTGCCGACATCCGCTTGTCCACTTTCTCCGTGTGGTTGTTGTGGCCGACGAAGAGGAGGTGCGCGGCGGTGAGGGTGATTTTCTGGCCCGAGTCGGTTTCGATGACGTAGAAGAGCCTCTTAGTTGTCGAGTCTTGGTCTATGAACATGATGAAGTCGGTGTAAATCATGTTTCCATCCTCATCTGCTGCCAGCACCTTGTCGCCGGTTTGGAGGTCTTTGACCGCCCTCTTGGTACCATCCTGAAGGGTGACAGTGGAGGAGCCTGGGAAGCAGCCACCCGATTTTGCTGCCACTGAATTTTCTGTTAAAATAAAATATATCATGGTGTTAAAAGGTGAAATTTGTCAAAACATACGGTTTTACACCATCAGAAAATGATTAGGAGCCTTTTCACGACTGAAGCCATTGTGGTTCTGCAACATTAAAAAAAAAAAAAAACATCTTAGAAACACACACAGTGTCCTAAAGCAGTGATATTTAAAGCTTTTAAACACTTTTAGGACTTAAAGATAAGAATCACACGTGCTTTTACGCATTCCAGTTAAGGACTACTGCTCCATTCAAAAGCCCATTCAAGAGAATCTTTTTTTTTTTTGCTCGTATTTGTGTTTTCTCCTGCCTCCACACATCGTGGTGGGCCATATGCATTTTGCATAATGATGCCTGTCGGCTCCTCCAAGCCAAATGCGTATTGGCTTGGACCACGTTGTCTGAGACGAGAAAACTGAAAGCCTTGGCTCATCTATTCTTAATTAAAAAACCCAATAAAGAGCAGGCATTGATATTCTAAATCAGCTTGTGGATCGAGCTACTCTCGGTAAAGAACACTTACGCCTTTCCCAGCTACTCTTCCCATATTTACTCAGGTGCAGAAACCTCTATGTGACAATTCACACAAATAGGCGACTCACAACTACTATTTACCCAGTGGAGCCACTTTTCCAAGCCTCTCGAGTCGTAGATTTGAATTTAAATGAGGGCCCGGACTCTTAAATGCTTTCTGTTGTGCAACATCAATGTCCCCTCTTTCTACCACCTCTCCCTGCTTTGTTGTCAGTCTTGATGACAATAATTTTGGCCTTGGTGGAGCTCTCCACATACCAGTCTCTAGGATCACACTGTCCTACACACAGAAAAGGCGGTTTCCTACTCAGAATTTGGGGCTTTTAATCTTCTTTTAAGATTCCCGAGCATGAAATAAGGTGACAACTGAAAACCAGATTTACCCCAACCAATTCAACATTGTTCAGCCAAATCCTTTTGGTAAAGTCGCATGACCCCTAATGACACGTCGGCCTGGCCCATACTGTGATCTCAAAACGTGTGTGCTGAATGATAAATAAGGGATTTATCAATAAAGTCTGAGCTAAGAAAAAGTGCCATGGTTCATCAATCAGTGAGAAGAAATATTTTCTAAGCCCAGTAGGTGTCCCATTGCTTAGTGAAGGCCTAAGAGGAAGATTATTTCAGCCAAAAGTGAGCCACAATAAAGGTCTTAAAATTAAAAATTAAATGTCAAAGCTAGAACAAATGAGATCCAAAATAAAGAGGTTAACAGACAAGTTTTTTTTTTCCTGTTTATCCCCTATATGACCAAACCCAAAAATGTTACGCTATCTAATTTAGAACTAACAACACAACTTGCAGAATCTTATTTTGGCTGCAGCTGCTGTGCAGAAATCCACAGAACAAAATGATTTGCTTTTCTGGGTCACACCGAGGAGCCTTGTTAGATTATGGCCGTGGTTCCCACCAGGAGACAGTGTGGGGCGATGTAAGATCAAGAAATAAGCTGCATGGGAAATGCTCATAACGCCACAGGCAGGGATGTGCCGCATACATCATTCATGGAAATATATATTTACATTTTCCTACTCCAAAAATCGACTTAAAATTAATCGTTATGCTGAAACTTTTGGTTTCTGCATTTCAACTATCTCGTCCGATAAATATTGAGATCTCGCTTGTTATTAATCATTCAATGAATGATATTTTTTTTTTGCTTTATAGCTGATCAACAGCTGTGCAATAAGACACACTTTATTACACGTCTTCGCTCACATGTAGTTTCTTGGAGCCTGTGAATGTGGCAGCTGATTGGTCACTGAAATCAAGTTGTTTTTTTGGACACTTGCATAACTTGCTTAACTTCATTACATCTAATCTACTCTTTACTCACAAGCAACTGATGAAAGTCTGATTTTGCATGAACCTTTCCTAGGAGATAAAGCAGGGCTGCAGTTTCCCTGAGCTGCACCTGCTCTTTTAGATGATTACAATCGCACCTGACGGAAAATGAGCGCTGGTGATAGACTTGGGTCATTTTCTCCTGCAGCCAGCATCGTGGCGCGCATGAGAGATTTTCTAAAGGCACAACAAAGTGGCTTTCCTCCCGTCCCGCAGTCATTACCTGCTTTCACAGAGCAGTGAATGTGGGCTTTGGATTCATAATAGACCCAGTCGAATCCGGCTTCCACCGCCAGCCTGGACAGAGTGCCGTATTTGCTCTTGTCTCTGTCTGAGGTGGTGATGTCCACAGCCCTGCCCTCGTAGTGAAGAGACTCCTCAAAGTGGTGCCCGTCCTCGTCCCAGCCCTCGGTGACCCGCAGCTTTACCCCGGGCCACTGGTTCATCACTGAGATGGCCAGCGAGTTCAGCTTGTCTTTACATCTCTGCGGGAAGGAAGAAATGGATCAGTTAGTCACCTGTTGTGTCATAGATTGGGTCGTAGCTCGCAGGTATAAGCTGCCCTGGCGCGTAAAGTGAAAGGAAGCCTGAGTTTAAAATAGCATCTGCCACCACAGTCTTTTTTTTCTATTGACACATTTTTGTTGCCAAGACTATCAGGTGCTCATAACTGTCTAAAAATATATCATCTTTTGGTCAGAGAAATAAAATATTAGACTGCATGCGCCACACTTAGAGGGTTTCTCCTTATACCCCCCACCCCCCACCCCCAGGAATATACCTTCCCGACAGATTCATGGGATGTTTTCTTGATCTCTGCCGTCTCTTATATAATAATAACAATTAAAAAAAAAAATCATATCTGGACTCACTGAGGCCTCGCCCACGCCTCTCCATCCCCACCTGACGCCCCTGATTCCTCCCAGCTGAGGTGAAACACACTGCAGCTCTGATCCTGAATGTGAGCTTGCATTTCTCAGTGTGAGCAGCAGCGTCAGAGGGCACATCTCGGATAAGAAAGCTGCTGATGAAATATTGATAAGGCACCGCATTCGCTTCACTGGCCTATAACATATGGGTCTTTGGTCTTGGAGAGGTGCGAGCAGAGTCCCTTTCTATCCAAAAAAAAAAGTGTTGCATCGAGCACAACACATATACATTATATATTCATGAGTTTGTATTAGGTCATGAAATCACCGACTTTTTTGTTGGTTGCAACTTGTCTGTTTTCTTTGAATAAATAATTGATATGCAGATGATATGAAGATGATCTTCAAGAGCAGCTGAAGCCTTAAAATATCTGGAGTTTGTCCTATAAATAAATCGTCGCACCCCAACCTCTCTGCGCTCTCTCAATGAAGATGCTTGGCCTTCTCCAAGACAACTATTCTCAACACTCAACCAATATGTCAAATAAAACATCACAAAGAGTCTTTTCAGTCCAACCGCGGAGGGAAACTTTCATTATTCTCCTCCTGCAAAGTCTTGGAAACGTGACATGCCTCCTTAAGTCGTGGTGTTTTGGCTGCTGACTGACAGACTTGTGAAATATCCAGGGATGGTATGGGCGCACAGAGAAGCGTCTATGTGTGACCCACTGTCCTCTTCCCTTATGGACAGGCTGTGTGTCCTAAAGGAAGAATGTTCACACAGACCCAAAAACTCGTATAACAAAAAAGAAAAAAAGAGGTTCCTCATATATCAGTGGCTGTTTTATGAGGATATCACACTTGTAGAATGTGTTGAATAAAAAACAGCTCCCTAAAAAACCTCCCACATTCTGAGTGGGTTTGTCGGAGTCAAGAGCCGTAAAGCTTAACCTATTTATTAATTCATTAGGTCGTGTGCCGCAAATCAAGCCAAATTCTGCTCAGCCACCGTGAAGCCCAGCAGGGTGCCCCGGACCGGCGCTTTGTGCTCGGGGTAAAGTTGTTCAACAGCCTCCCTCTTAATCTTTTCACAAATGATTTGGTTAGAGGAAACACTTATCAGCTACCTGTCAGTGCAAACAAGCCGCCAGCTCATCTCTTTTCCGACTCGTTTGCACTGTGGGCAGGGACTGCAGGCTCCTAACAGTGCTACACTGCAAAAAAAATAAACACTTCTAATCTAGTAGGAACTTTTCTTAAACGATAAAAGTAACCTTTTCCTGTGAGGGTGGTGTGATTTCACAAGGCAAATCGTGTATTTTCTTGAATCTTGAGTCGTTTTCTTGTCACAAACTCTACCCAACACTACCCAACGCTTTATAGATTATCCGGAAAATTCTTGAAACAAGGGAAACTTCATTAGAAATAAGTGGAATTTTGGAGATCGAGCAATCTGGCTGCTCCACAATAGAACATTTCCACTTATTTTGTGTCAGATAATATTCTACTACTGGAAGTGCATCTGGCATTTGCGGATGAAGATGGACATTTTGCAGCTCAGCCTCCAAACTGATGCTCCTGCTCACTGTAGGCCCCCGTCACTTCAGGAAACATCTATATATCTATCTGTAAATGTCTGTAAAACACCTCTCCTGGCAGCGTTCCTGGGAGTGAGCTGTATCTTAATAGTTAAGGGAGTAGGTGCTTGATCAAGCGCTCCTTCAAGTATCAAATATTATAGTCATGACTAGACCTCAGTGGATTGATTGATTGATTCACTTATTGCACACACCTAGGGGAGCTACAGCGGGCACGTGCCTTGTTTCATGTATGCGTACAACATCTATTTTCTACAACGCATGATAACGTGTAAAGTTCATTATATTAATGCGTAAACCTCCGTGCGTAAAAACCCACCGGATTCATGCGTAAAGCCGCGGGACAGCGCAAAGACTGTTGGCACAGCGTAAATCCTCATGTGATAATGCTTATGCCTTTGTCAGAGTAGTCTACAAAACAGCTACAGTCACTCTCCTTTGAATGTACATGCTTTAATTTGATGGCTTTGCAATGGCACGTACGATAAAGAAAATCTCACCTGTTTTAACTTACTATGGCCTCCCGCTGACCAAAGGTCATAAGTTCAAATTGCGTCTCAGGCCCAGTCAGGGGTGCCTAAAAGCCCTTTCATGTACATTTCACACTTAGAGTCGGTTGTTGGCTTTTCTGTAAACGCTCGGATGCTGAATGGGAAACGGATGATGAACTAGAAGCCGCAACTACTCTGATTTAAAATATATATATATATATATATATATATATATACATCTGTAAAACAAGAAGCATCTCTTAAAATGTTATTCAAAGCCTCCAAAACAGACAAAACCCTTTGTCAGAGGATTTGCCACCTCGTTTGTATGATTTGATACAGACCTGCAAACACAAGTGTTTATACAGCAGGTGGGGCATTTTACTCAGATTGAAAGCCTTATAATGAAGACACGTTTCTCTATATTCTCACAAATGAATGAAATAAGAAGCAAATGAAGCCGTTCTTCTGTTTTCTGGAGACCCTGGAACCTCCACGAGGAACCCTATGGGGGAGTGGGGGTGGGGGGTTGGGGGGGGTTCCTGAACCCCACTTTGCGCATCACATCCCCACGCGCCTGTAATTTCATCATCTGTGTGTATGAGAACCTATAGGTTTATGACAGAGGGGATGTGGGGAGGGCTGAGAGGGACGCCGAGACCGCACGCACAGTGAATATTTCATCGGAGCTCGTGCTCATGCATGGTGCGAGGCACGGGTTCAGGGACTCCGGCGCGCGCCCGGCGTCATCACCACCAGCACCACCACCATCACCACCGGCATTTTATTATTACTGAGCCAGTATCACCCAAGCGCTTTTAATAATTCACCAGCATCTGAGTGCTAAAAGTCATGCTGAAGAGACGCGGCATCCTGCAGCCTACATCTCTCCGACGTCTTGTGAGCCTCATCTTATCTGTACTGAACTAACTGCCTACATGAGGATGGAGTATTTATAAAAGATGTCATCTTCCATGCAAGTGCATTTGTAAAAGGCACCATCACCTCTGTGCGCCTTGCTCCTATAATTGACCGAGTCCCACCCATTTATGAAGTCCTGAACACTCTCAAAGAAATGTCACTGTTTTCATGCACTGATGCACACCATACGAAAAGCTAAATTACAGCAGCCTGTGCGAGAAAATGTCTGAATGAGCCACGCCATGCCTGAATAAGCCCGGCTGTTTGAAGCGGTGCGCATCCCCAGGGCTGGAATAAAGAAAAGGCGCTTTAAACAAGCTGTAATGTAAAGCTTAAATATGCAGCAAACACTGAATGTCTTCCTGAAATATAAGGTAATATGGATGTACGGCTATAAGGCAACAAATACTGTTTCACAGAGATACAAATATAGATATGAGGAGAGGGGCACATTAATATTTTAAATACACTGTCACAATCATGAAGGCCGAGTGTCCTGACTGTCCGCCTGCACATTACTTCTCCAGCTGGATTTCTACATTCGCTTCAAGCCTGCAGCCTTCGAAAACTCCCATGCTGGTGCATAAAGCGCATCTGCTTTTACAGTGAAGTTAAAAGGCTCAGTGTGAAGAGTTCAGCAGCGGGTAAAAACAGACTTCACTTAAGGTGCGCAATCAGTCTGACAAGGAGGTTGTTGCAGTGCGCAGTGGTGGTGCGTTAGGAGACGGGCAGTAGGGGAAAAAAGGTTATTCTGTCTCCTTACCTGAGTCATTAGCCTGTCGGCACCGGTGTTCTCCTCATCCTTGAATATGATGTCTGTGTTATAATTGGGAGTCAGTTCTTTAAATCGCTCGGAGTTTCTTGTGATCTTGCCTTCGTATCTGCCGCTTGCCCCGAGGGTCTTCTCCGCCACGTTGGGGATGAACTGCTTGTACGCAAGAGGTGTCAGCTTCTTCGGGTGTCTTCTCCTGCCGTAGCCCCTGCCCGGTCCGCATCCCATCCCAGAGGACACCAAGGACAAGCAGATGAGACCGACCAATACGATTCTGGTCCAGAGCAGCATTTTTGTCCTTTAAGATCTCAAACGAGTCGCCGCTGCTATCTCTACCGTCTGCCTCTCCCGGCTCTCGCAATGTCCTTGTCTCCTCCTCTACTTCGCCTTCGCCTGGTCTCTACCGTGGCAGGTGCGGAAATGAACGCCTCAGACAAATGGTAATAACGGGGCACATCGAAGGAGGGTTAAAAAAAAGTAGTGAGGGAATTAAAAGCCACGGGATCTCTAGTCGAGCTGCAGCCGCTTGTGTGAGGCGACCGCTTTTACTGCTTTGTATTATAGCACCGATCTATAGCAGGGGAGGGACTTGATTGGCTCGCCTAGACAAACCCTCCTGATGTTATCCCACAAAAAAATCTTAAAAGATTTCTTCCACCTGAGGGTTAGCCTGTGTCGCGGGGAGGAGGGGCAGTTCCATGGGAAAACATCAATTATATACCGTTTTTTTTTTCACCCTCCCATTTTCCAGATTTCACAGGGAAGGCAGGACAGACAGGAGCAGTGGCACAGTGCTGAGCTCAAATCTGAAGCAACGTAGTTGAAGTGATTTCAATGTGTGTGCGGTAATTGAAGTGCGTCTGGAAGAACTTTCCGCACAGAATGCATTTCCCAGGAGAATAAAACTGCTCGTGGACGCGCACTGCGCACGCCGCGCGCTGGATGAGTTTGCTGTGACCCCATATCTACAGAATTAATAAATAAACCTAACGAAGAGTTTACTTAGTGTGCTAAATATTAGATTGGTGGATTTAAAGTCGAAATGGCTTCTAAGACAGACTCATGCCAACGCGAATATACGCACGAAAATGACTTTGGAGACGTCTCATTCCACTTTGGTAAATACAAGTCAAGAAAAGCTGAACAAATATAACGGCATTTACCTCTTGGTTTGAAACTACTCCAACTCTGTCAAACTTCAGCAAAACTTAAAAATAAACCTGCACTCTATGCAGTGCGCGTACCGTGCGCCCTTGTTGCACCCTGCATTTTTACGCATCAAAATATGCATTTTATTCTTTTAATGATTCTTCCTCCCCATTCACTTTTTGTCTACGTCTGTATTCAACTAATTATAGTACATTGTTACAACTCTGACTCACATCATGAAGTTAACTCCTTAAGAATGAGGGAGGGAACGGTACGGACTTAGTAGACAATAGTAAATGAGGCTTTAGAAGGTGTATCCCAGAACTGTCCGACTCATCCAAGGCGGATTCTCATTGGAACCAGCCGCTTTAATGCGTAAATGTTCTGCATGCAGCTGCTGTGGGTCAAGGGTCAACCATAGGCTTTCTCTCTTCCTTCCAAAGTCCACTTCATTGACAGGTTTTCTCTTGGAAACCGCTCTATTTACTGGCCATGATAGTAGCATATGTGTTTGTGCCTAACTCCAACTTTCTCTTTTTCTCCCTCCTTTAAAGGAGAAGGGAAAAGGGGGGTCTTCTTGACTCATGGCAAACAGTAACACCCAACACTCCTGTAATCAATTCTCCACCTGTTATGATTTTGCTTAGATGTTAAAATATATTTTGTTTCAATCACCAACCTTCCTGTGCTGTTTTTTGCCCAACACACAGATAGTCATATTCCTGTGATTAGAGCCAATTCAAGTCATATTTTAGTGTTGTTGATTAAACCTGCATTGCACCATCACAAAACATCACTGTATCCACATTCAAGGCATATTAGTTCAGACAGACATAGATATCTAAAATGTCTCAGGAAGGAAAAGTATTTGTGTGATAACAAACAGTAATTACAGGAAGAGGGTCTGTTTTGGAGCAACTTTAGCTCTCATCACACTGACTGTGTGGCACAGGTGCTCTGAAGTGAGGACAGATAAACCAGCCTTTGGTGTGGCTTCAGTCTCATTAAACCTCACTCTGGCTGACCTCCAGTCTGGTGTTGTTCAGTCTGTGCCAGGCTCGTGGCACCACAACCAGGGCAGGTGAGACAGCCTGCCGCTCACTGAGACCATGAACATCAAGTCTTGGCCAAAAGATGGCTTGTGCACTTGGCACACTGCTGTGTAACCCCGACCAAAATACTCGACTACCAGTGATGGCTTTCAGCCTACGTATCGCTGAATCCCCACTGTTTTTGCTAAATGTCATGGAGATTCTCAAGATGTCTTTGTTAGACCTCAGCAGCTGTCTCTGCAGACGTGCTGTTCAAACACAGAGCTGACAGCAGTTGTGGTGCCCTGAGGGACACTGGAGGTGCTGTTTGGCCCCAGGTCAGAGTCTTGGTTCAGGTGTCACAGCTCTGAGATAAAACCTGGCATGCCACACAAATGTCTCAAAACCACAGAGAGAGGAAGAGGAGGCAGTAACAGTCCTTAGAGGTCTGAGTCCTCACATGCCAAAAGTATAAGGGTGTAATAATAATAATGATAATAACAGAGACTGTAAGGGGTTCTTTGTAAATGAACCAAGTCACAAAATGTGATGCTAAGTGAAATGAATAATGCAGAGATTGCAATGAATAATGCAGCCTAAAGAGCAAGGTGTGCTGATGTGACAGACTAGATTTGAACTTGAGTTTCTCCCACAGAGGAAACCAAGCATCTATCTGCTCGACCTGGGGCAAATAGTATTTGCAAACATTACACTTCATTGTTTGGTTTTGGCCTCCTCCAGTGCCAGATGGGTGGAGTTTGCAACTAAGGCCAATGGAAATCACAGCCGACAGTCTAGCTGATTAATCATCAAGTATCTAAGATCAATTTAGCATTTGAACTTTTGATTGAGAAATTATCTGATAGTGTCTGAAACACTCAAAAACCTTAAAGCAAACACCAAAAAATACTTGCGGTATTGCTACTGTTCAGGGTGAATGCATGCTGTGATGTAAACAACATGTCACCATACTGTTGTAGGGTTAACACATGATCAAGAGTAATATATTCACACATGTATGGACAATTTAGAATTTCCCCTTCAGCTTCAGAATAGCCGTTTTTCAGTTTGCCAAATGGATTTTGAAAGGATTTTATAAACCCGGCACCTAAAACCACAAAGGAGCGCATAATCCTGTGATTTAAGTTATAACAAGCAAAGTGGAAATTTTCACCTGACAACAGCATGATCCATGTTTTTTTGGAAGCCTGTGTGTTATAAAACCTATCTTAACATCACAATGAAAGAATTCTTTCAGGTCTCAAACAAAGTAAACAGCTTCCAAAAACCAAGACCTGTACCGCTATGTGACGCTCTGTAACTCAGTTTATTTTCACTGACCTTAGTTTTGCATATGAGGGTGACACAGCAAAACTGAGGCTGATTTTATGAAATAATTCTGGAGGGATTGAGGCCATTACACAATTCATATTAAGAAGCCTGTTGCATGTGATGGCTAATCCAATGTGAGGCGTGAAAACGGCCAATGAGTCATCAGTTTTTTGGACCCTTCTGTGTCCCATCGCGACCTGCACCCTCAAAACACAGACCTCACATCCGCTCGCTTAACCCTCTGCCTGCTCTGAAATGTCTCCATCTGCTCTGTTGCACCGTCTTTCTTTAAAAAGCTCACTCTTCAGCCTGACATTCAAGGGAATTAAGAGATATGCTTCGAATCAGACTAAATCCACACCCATGTTTGATTTCTTGTGCCACAGTCTCGATCAAGCATGAGCGAGATGCAACTAGAAGTGGTTGAGCAGTTTTTCACCAGTGTAAGTCCCCCCAATTACTGCTTTAAAGCCTCCTCCTGTCTGAATGTTTTGTAACATTGTTAGACGGATTAGGACTACAGAATAATCACGCACAAACATATAAGTAGTGTCAGGCTTTCTGTGTTGTTTTCCTTCGCTGAAAACATGGTTTCCTTTCTTCCAGCCCAACAGAAAGCTGGCCCTACCACAACTCGTTGTGGTTTTCTCTCACAGGTGGGGTCTGCATTCAAACCTTTATCCTGTTCTGAACTTTTGACAAAGAGCTGATAGCACAGACACGTCGCCTTGTATCCCGTGAACATGTGTACTCTTTTGTCAGCGTAATAAAGTTTGAATAATCTTCCTCTAAATGGTTTATCTAAGCCGCACGCATCAAGCATTATGAAGCAGTAAAGAGTCAAAATTCAGCTGAACAGATTCAAGTGCCCTGAGGCTACTCTGTCAAGCACAATGGAAATTTCACAATACAGTATCTGGAATCACAGCCCTCAGCGTGCCCCGGAGTCTGTAAAGGCATTTTATTTGCACTCTCCAGCCGCTCCCAATACTTAAACATTAAACGCCAAGGCTAGACAGGCAAAACCACTTTGAACTGCAGTGCAGGGTGAACTCAGTGGGAGGGGAAGGAGGTGAGTGACTGGAGAGCGGGGGGCTGGTGGTGTGTGCGATACTCCGCCAGGTGAGTCAGTGCTGGCCACCGTGCAACACCATCACAATCTTAGGCAACAGTGACGGAGAAGGGATGGGCTCGGTGCTATTGATGAAGTATTGAAGTATGAGTAGTTGTTTGCTGTCAGTCCTAACTGAGTTTCTGAGGAAACACTGTAAAGAATTTGCATCTAAACATTTTGTTTTCCCTGTTTCTGAGCCACCAGAATTTTCTTTAATTTCTTTAAAAAATAAAGTTAATGCCACTGGATTGAGATTACTTAAATTTTTTTATAAAACAATCTGGTTAGTTTCAGTTTCTTGACAGTATATGTGGCTGAGTCCAGTTCACTTGTAGTTATATTGTAAAGGTAGTTCAGCATTTTAGGAAATAACATTTATTTTCATTTTGTGCCAAGAGTTAGATGAGAAGATTGATATGATTCTTGCATCTATGCTAAAATATGAAGCTACAGTCAACAGCCAGTTAGCTTAGCTTATCACAAACAGTAACTCTAAGCAAGATAGGAATTCATATTTCCCAAGATGCTACTATTTCTTAATCTTGAAAAAAAAATTGTAAAGGGATGTTAAATTATAAGACAGGAGACAACAAAAAGAAAAAGGAATGGTCAAAATTAATGCAGCAGTGGCCGTGATAACTTTTAGTCTTCGAATGGGTCAAGTTCAGAAAACACTTGATCCCACAATTCCCATAATGCAACTCAACAGTGTCTTCTGTGAGATCATACCTGCCTGGTAAATGCCCACATCTTTCAAACTCATTCATGTTCCAAGTTTTGCTAATAATTTAAAGTTTCAAGCCTAATCAGAGATAACCTTGATGACATCACTGTGACATCATCAGGGTTAGTCGTAGAATGTCTCGAGACTGATCTTCATGCGTAAAATCAGTGTGGTGTCCCTTTAATCAAAACACCATCAGTGACTCAAAGTCATAAAGTTGTGAAACAGTCTATGTCTGACTGAAGTATCAAACTTAATCGCACTGTAAGATCGGTTATGCAGATACACTTTTTTGAGATGAGCAATCTGCTCCAACATGAACTCTTCAACATTTGCTTTCATTAAAGTGAGGACACTGATTCTATCTCTCTAATGAGCCCTGAGTGCTTCGAGTGTGTGCCATTTCGCCCCAGGCTACAAAAATGGAGGTTATAATTCCCTTATGACTAAAATGAGGTGTAGGAACACAACAAACAGCAGGAAAACTTCATCACGCCCCGTTAGCAGACTACTACCCACGCTAACCACACAAACCACCTGTGTGACTGATAGTCAATTATGATATGCTAACATGCTGCTCAGGCATTCCTCTCCTCAATCAGCTCTTTCTCATCTGCCTTGATGATATCTGCAAAACACTGTGTCAGTCATCAAATTGATGCCCAGTTGTTTATTTGTTAGGTTGTTGGGATGAATATAGATTACTTGCATATTTCACATTAATAAACATTACTAAATGTAATTTCCTGTGCTATGGCATTCCAGTTTCCCCTTTGATTTACACCAAAGTTGATTTGCCGCAGATATTCCAATTTATCAAAAAGAGGAAGTCCTGGCGTGCTCTGTTGTGTCACATTCTGTGTTAAATCAAGGTTGACAGCGATCAGTTCCACAGCAAACTATATCCTTCCCGCTTTGTGCATTCATTCAAACTTTACTAATCCAGGAAATTGCTGCCACTGATCAAAGTTATTGCCTGGAAGGAACAAGGAAGCCGAACAAAAGTGACACTGCCTCATATCTTATTATGAGTTGTGGCTTTGGATGGACACAGATCCTTGTCAGCTGGATATTTGATGGCGTTTCAAAGTGAAAGTGGCAATAAATTTTGTGTCAAATACTGTGGTCTGAGCAATGATCAATGCTCTTTGTGCGTAACAGAAATGATAGAGATGAGAAACCCAATCATACAAATATTTTCCTCTGGCATTCATACTGTATCTATTGATTTATTGTGAAATGTGTGGATTGTTCACATCCAGTTACTCATATCAAATGCTTTACTGTAAATGCATCTAGTATGGCTGATTAATATCCAGACAAAAACAACTCTGAGCAATCTATTTCCTAGGGTTCAGTTAGGGACTGTATGGGAAGTTATTCAGATAGGGGGGGGGGGCTGAACGTTACGTTTCAGACCCTCCTTGATGTTATTATTTTCTTCACCTCTCCTTCTTTCGCCTGGTAGTTCAACCGGTAGCGTGTGTACTACAAGGCTGAGTCCTTACGGCAGCGGCCTGAGTTTGAGTCCTGTATTTGACAGCAGACAGACATGGCGGCGGTGGCTAATGTAGCCTCAAGCTGCTAGCCTCCAGAAGTAAGAAGCGGTCCACAGAGGACTGGTGACCTCACTTGTTTCTAATTCCACACCTTCAGTTTGTTTCTTGTTTGCTCGTTTTCAAACTTACACACATCACACGCAGCTCCCTCTTGACCCAACTTTCACATATGCAGTAGCACTGGATGTAATATGTTAATCAAATAATAGTTTTTACATCGTTACCAATTAGCAGTTTGCTCAATTACTAAAGACTCCCCCCCATCTCTCCCAAAAAATGTGAATTACACAACCTTCAACAAAAAGAAAAAATACATAACCC